AGATTTGTACTAAAATAATTAAAAAGCAATTACTTTTCTTTATTATTATTTTTTAAAAATTACTTACTAAAGAATGACACTTTATATAAAGATAATGTATTTAAAATTTATAAAAATCATAAAAATAAACATGACACGAGACACCATTATTTACAGAAAGCTTTCATGTTTTATATTCTTTTGACCTATATGATGTTAGAGGTCTTACGGCAGACATAAAATAAAACTAATTTTCACAAAACAGACTAATTCACTTATACACATGACATGATGTTGTAATTTGTTTTAATTAAAAAAAAAAACACACGTATTTCTCAAAACACGAACAGGCCAGCAATAAGTATCCTATGGTCGTATTTTGTGTTTGAGTATATATATATATATATATATATATATATATATATATATATATATATATATATATATATATATATATATATATATATATATATATATATATATATATATATATATATATGTATATATATATATATATATATATATATATATATATATATATATATATATACTAGGCATACTGCCTAGCTTCGCTTAGGTCAGGGGTCGGCAACCTGCGGCTCGCGAGCCGCATGCGGCTCTTTTGATATCAAAATGCGGCTCTCCAGCTCCTTGAATAAATACTAATAATCTTAATAGAAAAAAAATATTTGAAATTAAAAAAAATGTTAGTGGCTCTTTAAAACCAGGGAAATTTTGAAAATTGTAACTTTTGGCTCTTCCGCTTCAAAAGGTTGCCGACCCCTGGCTTAGGTTTTCAAAAACATTTGATAATTTGAATAGTAATTATTAGGTGATGGATGAGGCGTGGAGTGCTTAAATGTAAACAGTAATGCTAATTTTAGAGAAGATGTTGTAGGCCTATGCTCTTTAACATCAGCTTTCAGAGAAAGTGTTCGAAAGTACGCAATTTATAACTAAGATGGAAATAGAACTACAGAGGTTCCATGAACAGTATATCTCATAATTTATATTACATTGACTTTTAAAATTAATTTTTTATTTAATTATGATACGTAGCTTAATTAATAACTTATTTTTATCTAAAACAAATGCTATACTTTGTCGTTTTCTGTTTCTGTTTAAAATAGTATACAATTATTTGAAAAATAATTATTTAAAAAGGTTACCTCCCTTGGAAATTAACCGAATGACGTATCTCTGTGTTTACTTTTTTTTTAAAACAAACAGTTACTATGCTTATATAAGAAAATACGATATATAAACATATTTAACGACTACAATAGCTTTTTCCGACGGGATTAAAGTTTTTTTGTTACCCTCCAGGGTCGGTCTACGACCTCAAATAATATTAACGGGATCGATCGTCAAATTATTTATATATATCTCATATAAGGAGAATTTCACTCGCGGTCATCTTTTAGCACTGGTCGAGGGCTTTGAGTCTGAACAACAGTTTTTCCATACGGCCTAGTCATCTATAGAAGTGTATGCAAAACATTAGCATGATGTACAGAGGTTAAGTAACGTAAAAATTGTGTTGAAATTATCCTGTTTTTTTCCATAAAATACAAAGATTATATAGGGAAATACGACTGGTCAGTTTTGACCCCTTTACGAAGTTTTCCCAGATATGCCGAGTTTTTTGTGACACCCCAAGGCGTTCTCCTACCACCTCACAAAATATCAAGGGGGGTCGTCGGAGGAAATTTTTTTTCGTAATAGAGCTCATATAAAGAGAATTTCACTCGCGGTCACATTTTAGCCCTCGTTGAGGGCTTTGAGTGAAACCGACAGTTTTCCCTAAAGGTCAAGCCATTGACCTAAAAGTATGCAAAAATTTAGCCAGATATACTGAGTTTAAGTACCCTAAAGCCTGCGTTGAAATGACCCTCTGCTTTTCCAATAAAATACAAAGATTATATAGGGAAATACAACTGGTCAGTTTTTACCCACTTCCCGATTTTTCCGAGATATGCCGAGTTTTTTTTGACACCCCAAGGCGTTCTCCTACCACCTCACAAAATTTCAAGGGGGGTCGTCGGAGGAAATTTTTTTTCGTAATAGAGCTCATATAAAGAGAATTTCACTCGCGGTCACTTTTTAGCCCTCGTCGAGGGCTTTGAGTGAAACCGACATGTCTGCCCTACGGCCAAGCCATTTACCTATAAGCATGCCAAAACTTAGCCAGATGTAAAGAAGGTAAGTGCCCTAAAATCCGTTTTGAAATGACCCTCTGTTTTCCCCATAAAATACAAAGATTATATAGGGAAATACGACTGGTCAGTTTTGACCCCTTTACGAAGTTTTCCCAGATATGCCGAGTTTTTTGTGACACCACCAGGCGTTCTCCTACCACCTCACAAAATATCAAGGGGGGTCGTCGGAGGAATTTTTTTTTCGTAATATAGCCCATATAAGGCGCCGGTCAGTCGAGGTCAGTTTTGACCCCCTCTCCGTATATTTTTCGGCCAACCGTCACCGGCCCTCGTGTTCTATCGCCCGAAGGCACCATCGTGCAAAATTTGACGCGCCTGCGGCGCCGGGAAGTGCCCTATCGGGCACCTGACCACTTTGCATTATATATATATATATATATATATATATATATATATATATATATATATATATATATATATATATATATATATATATATATATATATATATATATATATATATATATATATATATATATATATATATATATATATATATATATATATATATATATATATATATATATATATGCCTATATATTTATATGGGGGGGGGGGGCTAAAAAAATTTTTTGCGGGGTGGCCCCTTTTTTCTAGTTCCGCCACTGCCCCTACAGTGTGTAAATTATAATCATGGGCTTTAATACTCTATGGATGACCACAAGTGTATAAAATGATTATGGGCGTGTTCTCTAAAAGATGCCTCTACCTACACAAGTATCAGATACTCTATTAATTCAAAGACTGCATACATTTATTCGGGGAATATCAATGACTACTACACCACTACCCTTCACCGATGCCCCTTTCTCCCTGAAGGTTGTACGACACGGACAGTACGATGACTATATCAGTGCCATGTGTTGATTGTATATACACATTTCGGTGAATTCGGGCAAATTGTGATAATTTGATAATTCTGCCTAGGTAGACAAACCTTAGTAGACATTTAGCTTTCCTAAAAAAAAAAAAAAAAAAAATTAAAAATTAAAAATTAAAAAAAAAAAAGACATTTTTTTTTACCCCCTTTGGATGCCCCTTTGATGTGGCTGCCCGGGGCCTGGGCCCCCTCCGCCCCCCCCTCTGCACGCCACTGCTTCTTAATAAAAAAAAAATATGGTTAATTGTGCTGCATTTTTATTTTCAGATACCTAGGGTATATTTTTTTTTTAAATACTTATAGGCTTTGAGTTTTTTTTTAATCTTTTTTTAAAGTAACGTTTAATAAAATAAAGTACAATAAAATTGCTTAATAGTAAAAACAAATAATAAATGTGTGTCTCTAATTATGTCTGTCTAATTGAAACATCTCATTTACTGTTTTTCACCTCTTTAAAAAAATGTGATTTGGATAAATTTACTGTTTAGATATCTTCAAAGTAACGTTTAATAAAATAAAGTACAATAAAATTGCTTAATAGTAAAAACAAATAATAAATGTGTGTCTCTAATTATGTCTGTCTAATTGAAACATCTCATTTACTGTTTTTCACCTCTTTAAAAAAATGTGATTTGGATAAATTTACTGTTTAGATATCTTCAAAGTGCATTTGCCTTTATTACGTTTTAATATGTTTGTCAAACTAAAAATAAGAGACATTTATCAATACCAGACGGTACTAAAATGTTTTATCCCTTGTGAAAGATAGTGTGACTGTTTCTCTTGCAAAGTTATCAAATTTCATGGAATTGTTTTGTGCAATTTAAAGTTAAAGGGTAGTAACTAGCACTAAAACACATGTGATAAAAATAATGATTCTGTTATTTCCCTTTGACCATACCCCGACATTTTGGTAAAAGTTTGGAGGGTCTTCTGTCCAGCCAAACAAACCATGCTGGAAGGAAAACCAAGTTTAAATACTTTAAAATACTTTTAAAATTATAACTACTATATCTTTAAAATAATCTAAAATTTTCATTATGAAATAGAGATTTCTGCTCTAGGGGAAACAACTCAATTAATATTTCCGTGTAAATCAACATAGATTGTTTGTCTCCCATAATAAAAGGGTAACAACTCATTATTTATTGAAATATTGAAATGGGGTGACTTACGTTGTTGTCTTATATTTTTGTGACCAAGGCTTCTTCAATTTCTATAGTTATTTATTTGCTTTTTTATTTATATATTTTTGCTTTGGGGCGGTACCTGGAAAGAAACACTGTGTGGAGCTGAGGGGGTAGGGGCTTTTTTTTTAAACTCATCTAAATTGTCATTCATGGATGACCATATACAGTTGTTTCTTTGTTAATGTTTAAAGTACGTTCATGTCGCTTTTGTTAACTTTTATTAGCTTTTCTTAAATGTGTAAGCCTTCAAAAGTGAATGTAATAATAAATAGGGCCTAGCTGTTTGTTTTACTGTCGTCAGCAAGACTATATTAATATAGATCATGAGAGAAATCTTAATTTGTATTGTCTGAAATTCGACTCCCATTGGCTTTATTTTTATATACCTTTTTTGGATAGTTTAACATATTTTATATTTAAAAGAATGCTTACGCCCAGTCTGGTTAACTCTAGCACTAAAACGGCGATATATGATTAGGATTAGTAGGCTATGTGAGGTTTCGATCACCAATATTACAATACCCATAATATAAATGTGTGAATGCAGCAATTCTATAAGTACCGATTGAAGAAACTTTTTTATCTGTACCAGTTCGTCCCATTACATATAGCTATCATCGTAATTAGAGTCTATAATTTAATCTATATTTACTGATGCATTTGGAACACTTTATATTCTAGCGGTCTATGCATTAAAAAAAAATATTTTCAAATCTCGTACATTCTCAGTCTACAGCGCGTGATTAAAGATGGTGGATAGGGAAATGTTTTCATTAGAAAATATGTAAACACTAACTTTGATTCGATTTCCTGACATTTATCGTGTGAATTAGAAACGTTCTATTGCGCGCAAAATGGGTGCCAAAGACTCTAAATTATCCGTGATATCTTTTGAAGATGCATCACGGCGAGGTTAGCCAATAGCTATATTAATATTCATGTTTCAGTTGTTTCGTCAGTTAGGCCTATTTTTAATATTTTTTCAGACTTCGGCTTTTCAGGCTTATCGCTCCTCCTCAATCTGGATCAGAATCTCCTATTCACTATTCGTATTCAAATATTCATTCATATTCAGTATTTTTCAGTGATTCACTAATCTCCTGTCTTTTAAAATAATATTTTGGAACTGGGTATCTCTGTGAATTAGATCTCTAGATCTAAATCTAGTAATGCCACACAAAAAAGCAAAGAAAATTTCCTTAGCCAAGGTGTCACTGTAAACTGTAAATGTTTTACAATTTATTTCTAGATCTAGGGGCCTAATTGATTAATTGGTTTTAAATTTTAAAGCTGTAGTGTATCAACAGTGTTTAGTGTGAATTATTTAAATAATAATAATGCAAAGAACCTATTTTTATTTTTTTAATGATTTTAGGTGCGTAAAATCTGCAGTGGTTAGTAATGTAAAATAAACCGGGAGTGATCTCCCGTAAACTTTCTCGAATATTCTTATATAAAACAACAGGGGATGGGAACTCGGGATATAGACATAATTTATTTTTAATCCATGTTAAATACTTAAACTTTTTAAAATAGAATAAAATCTCATAGAAAAAAGTATTGCACACCAAGTGAACGCCAAATAAACTGTGCATTATAGTGCGGAGTATTATTAGTACTTTATAAATTTACATGCATTTTTTGAGAAATTACTCAAAATTTGATAGAAGGTAGATAATTTGGATCTTTTATTGGAAATTGCTCAAAAGTTGTTACGGATCTACGATTTTGATATAATACTTATATTTGAAATTTCATCAACCTAGCTGTAATGGTACTCGAGTTATCAGATTTATCCCATTGAAGATACCCTCTATGGATGAATGCCAGTCTAAAACCAGAAGCTCCCATTGTTGTTGTTAATATGGTTTTGCGCCATTTATCATCATGAGACATTCTTGTATTTAGGACTTCTATTTACTATTTTGGGGGACGTCTTTATAAATATAAAAATAAAATTAAATAGCATCACACCATTTTTTGCTGATTTGATACACCCTCACCCAACCCTTATTGTCACACATGACAAAGTTAACACACCCCCCCCCCCCCCCCCCATTTCCTTTCTGCAAAATAAAATGCTGTCACATTTCTTGAATCCAAGAAACATAATCATTTGTTTATTTGTTTTTTATTACTACATGGAAACTGAAACAAAAAACATGATCAAGGCCTACTTGTTTAAATTTTACTACTTTTACTTCTGATAACAAATATGCAATTGTAACAAGTCTATTTTATTAAATTAATCTACATTATTTATACTTCTGCCTAATGTTGATATAGTGTAGTGAATTAGTTATGAATGAGTCTATTGTGCGAGAAGAAAAATTCATATCTTAAGGAATACTTTTTAGTTTGGATGAAGCTAGATCTTTTATTAGAATATCTTAGTGATGATTAGGACCAAGCCAATATTTTGTAATTGCCTGTTGTAATTAGAAATTTAGGAGATCACTGGAAGTTTGAATCTAGAATTATTTGGGGTGGGTTAGCACTAAACCAGAATAAATTTTCACAGGTAAGCACTCAGCCTCTAATTTATGCAGCACATGTGTTGGCACTATAGTCTCCTTAGAAGTGCAAGCAATTCCTGTTGAGGAAGATACTGTTCTATTAAAAAAATACAGTTTTCACATTAGTTTAAATGGTTGTGTTTATAAACTTGCAAAATACATCTGCTGGTGCATTTTTTATGTGGCAATATGTTTGATTTATTTCTCTAACTTATAAACTAATAGATCGAAGTGAAAGCTTGGACTCATAAACTAATAGATTGAAGTGTTATAATTATATTTCTTCTCTAACCTTTCAGTGAGTGACTCAGAAAGTGCCAGACTAAGGGAAGCTTTTCGCAGAGTGACAGCTGTCAACTCAACCATGTCTGACACTGTGTTTGTAAGAGAAGTTTTGTGGGAAGGTGTCCCGATGAATATAGCCCAGGTAATAGATATAGTCAGAAAGCTTATGAGAAACTAACAGTTTTTCTTCTCATATACACTTGTGGCTGGTTCTGGGGAGTTTTTATTTTTAATTACTGATGTCAAAATATTCTGAGGTCATGTCTAAGTCTACTATAAATCTAATTTAGTACTAAAATATGGGACAGCATGATCTAGTAATGCATATACTTGTTTACTGTATAATACAGTTGTGTAACACTAGCTTGTTTCTTCTATTTCTCTTATTACCATTCTTGGTTGTTGTTTTATTTTTCAAACAACCTGTGTCTGAACTCACTGCTCTTCAGCTATTGACCTTGAACTTGATTGTGAGAAGTATACTGATAACCTTATTTGGTTCAGCTAAAGGGCAGTCACTTTCAAAGTATTTAGTGATGACATAATAACTACTTTCTATTTGAATTTGTTCCAGCTAATCTACAGAGGCTATGGTGGGACATCCAAGGGCTTGAGTTACAAAGATCTGCTGTGTGGTCTGGTTATTCTAACCAAAGGTACCAGAGAGGAGAAAATGAAATGTAAGATCCACATTATTAAGCTTGTATGTCTCATTAGAAATAAGTTTTTATTGTGTTTTAGATCAATTTTACCATTTTATTTTCCTTAGGATTATATATATATATATATATATATATATATATATATATATATATATATATATATATATATATATATTATATATTATAAGCATTAAAATAAAAAAAAATTAACTAGATTTTCATATTATTAATATCAAGTAATATCTCCTAAATTATACTTTTGAAATAAATTAGATGTTGCACTTTACTTGATTCTATTATAAATAACTTTCTGCATAAATAAATCCATGTTGTATTTATGACTAGCATCATTATAAGTTGTTTACATATTTATCCAGTGATCTTTGCCATGTACTGCGACGACTCATGTACCTATGTACAGAAGGATGAAATGGATAAACGTGTCATTGAGACAGAAGGCCAGGTGTCTCCAGCATTATCTAATCTGTTTAAAGAGGTATTTTGTTTTTATTTATTGTCTTAACCTTTGGGTTTTTTATGGTGCCACACAAATACTTGTTGATAAATCTGACTTCTATTTCCACAAATTCACCACCATAATTTCTCCTTCAATCTTTTGCTTTTTTATTTATATATATAAATAAACAATTTAAGAGCTGTTATCAATGAACAGGTGAAAGGATTAAGTCAATTTAAATTTTCAGGGAATTCTATAATACTGAACTGATGTCCTTAATGTGACAACATACATTCTAGAAAAGCCTATTTACCTATTGCCTTATATACATTTGCCTAGTTATAGTGGTTTTAGTATGTAGTATGCTCAAAGAATGATAACAAAACATTAGAAAACTATGGTCATTTTTAGGACAGGAATTTTTTGACAAAACTTGCACTGCATGTATAAGGAGCTGTTAGAGCTTAATTGATATTCATATGACTGTAAACAGCTAAAGCTACCAATGCTACATAATTACATAAAATTTTATTAAGATGTTTGTTTTTTATTTTACAGAAAATACTTTATTAATCATGTTAGCAATATTTGTATTAAGTATAAATGTATATAGTATAAAATTTCTTGTTGTGTTTAAAAAGATTGACAAAGATTTTGAATCCCTTTATTTTATTATCATTGCAGTTAATGATTATTTTAAATTTATTTTTTCAGTCTGATCAAGTATCGTATGAGCAGTTTTCATATTGGTTGAAAGGACATCCAGACGCAACAATAATAAGCAAATGGCTACTTTTGGAATCAGCAAGCTTATCTTTGTCAGGGGAACATGACACGCCCACATTTTACCAGACTCTTGCCGGGGTCACTCATTGTGAGAATAGAGAATTAATATATTTTCTTTTTTACAATATCTTATTGTTATAATAGAGAAAGAAAGTAATTATCATTTTAAGAATAAGTATTTCATATTTTTTTTTTTTTTTTTTTTGGATACAGTCTCATTGAAACAAAGAGAATTCCTTCATGTTTGTTTGATAGAATTTGCATACGAGTTGTTTGTTTTCACAGTGGAAGAAAGAGAAATTCTGGAGCTGGAAAAACGCTACTGGACCCTCAAAGCATTATCAAAGTCTGGACGGTTCGACCAAGATTTGTTCAAGTCTCAAGTCTGTCCGCCCTTACCAGAGAAACTTTGTCATTGTAAGGATTTGGGATTATTTTTTTTTAATTTCTTTTGCTTTGAAAATAAAATATTTTAATGAAAAACGTTACTATTTACAATTGACTCTGTCTTTTTACAGCGCTGTTTTTGGCATTTGATGAAAATTGTGATAGTCACATAGACTTTAAAGAAATGGCTTGTGGCATTTCTGCGTGTTGTCGAGGTCCCACATTAGAAAGACAGAAATGTAAGCCATTCTCTTTTTTTGTTTATTTCTTATTAAATTTTATTTAATGTTTTTAAAATGTATCTTTTTTCTTTATACTAAACATTCTATTTACCTTTTTTAAAAATTGTATTATTTTTATTTAATATTTTTTATTTCAAAATTTTATTTAATGTTTTTAAAATGTATCTTTTTTCTCTATAATAAACATTCTATTTACCTTTTTAAAAATTGTATTACTGAGCAATTTTTTTTTTAGTTGAATATAATTCAGTGTATAAATTGTAAACTTTGTTTTCAGTTTGTTTTAAAGTGTTTGACTTGGATCACGACTCCAGGCTGAACGAGCATGAAGTGACTGCCATGCTGGAAGCCTTGAATGTAGTAAGAGAAGTGTATCACTCCAAGGCTTCTCTGGTAAGTGATTCAGTGTGTTGATGGCTGTTACACACCTACATGGGAATGGCATGGTCGGATGATAGAGCACATGGCTGCTAACCCGAAAGTCTTGAGTTTGAATCCTGTAGTTGTGTCAGTAAAACGTCACTGAGTTGACTCAGCTCTGATGGGTACCGCAATCATGCAAAAGAAAGTAAAGGTTGCTGGGCATAGTGCTGACCAGATTATCTCGAGGTCACCGAAATGGGTGAACTCTACTTCACCTGCCTCATGGACCATCAGGTTCATAAAGGCTCTTAATTTTACTTGACATACACCTTTCAGACTTGCCTTTCCTGTTTTTTTTTATCTTATTGAATTGACCAGGTCTTTTGGGTACACACCTCGTTCTTGATGGGTGGAATAATGATGAGATTCTGTAATTAGTGGTTGATGACGCAAGTGGTTTGTCTTTGACTGGCACGCTAGTAAATTTTTTTTAACTGGCTGGGTTAAAAAAAATTATCAACCACATTGTCAACCCAAGTTTGTCTTTGTTTGACTGGCATGCTAGTCAATTTTTTTACTGGCTGGGTTAAAAAAAAATTATCAACCACATTGTCAACCCAAGTTTTGGTCTGCTGGCCACACCCTGGTCATATATGAATTTCTGTAGCTTTAGCCTGCTAGAAGGATAAGTTTCATTGAGGTGAAAATAAAGATGTGTTTGTCTATTTGAGCAGGAAGCTCAAGACTTACCTCCTCTTGAACCTTCTGTAGTTGCCAAAGAAATTCTCTCTAGTTATGACCTGAACAAGGTAAGCTTTCGCATTACTCTGTGCAGTTCTTTACCACAGTAGTGCAGGCTCCTTAGTTTCATCATCAAATGTTTGTTTCACTGGGTTTTCAGATTTTACTTTTGTTCGGTTCCATTCCCTGTTATTGTTTTTTTTTTTTTTTTTTAAGATTATTGCAGTAGAAAAATTGTTTGCTTTGCAGGAAGGATCTTTGACTCTGGAGGATTATTTGTTGTGGACAGTCAACAATCAGCTGACCTCAGACTTTTTAGAGCTCCTTAGTGAGGTAATGGATTTTTTATTACATGCTGATTGTAAGGTTTGCTGTAGAGAGGGTCGAGCTTAACGCAATCCACTACTATTTTAAGAATACCAGTTTTATGATCAGTCACATCACAATGATACAAGCAATAATAACTTGACACAATGCCTATTATTTTCTATCTCACTATTTATTCAACTACTGTACTCATTCTAAATCCACATACAACTATCCTTGATTTCAACATCACACGGAGGACCTCTCACATTCAGTACCTAGCCTAAACTCCCTAGCTTGCATACCATAACAACCAGTTTCTATCGCAAAATTTCACTGCCTTTTATCAATCCATGCATTCATTATATCTCTCGCACCAACATCCATTTGCACCAAAATACACTTATAAACACACATCATTAGACTGATATTTAACTAAGTTAATTATATTTTCAATTTGATATCATTGATTATTTTTTAAAATTTATATTTACCCACAGCCCATTGTTTTACTTGTTTTAGATCTGCCAATGGATAGTTTCTCCTTTCAATCCACATCACTTAACTTTAAATTTTACACAGTGTAATACCAATAGCAATTGACCTACTACAAATGGTTTAGTTTGTCCAGAACTATTGGCTATTCCTGCCCATTTTTATGCAGGACTTTAAAACCTAGATAACTTGTCCTAGTTTATAAGCAAATTATCTTTACCTGTTAAAATTGTTTCATTTTTTTACCTAACTTTAAAAAATTGATACGTATTTTTAAAATGTTTGCTGTAAAATGTTTGCTGTATCGCATAGTCATTAATTAGTGTGCCATAGTTTCTATTTCAAATTTTTTTTATGACTGAGATGAATACTTTGTATATCTATAAAGAGTTATTCTGTTAATTGGTATTCTTTTTTAATGTGGCCACGAATAAAGAGTTGACACTCTGGCATAGATTAATTGAACTAATATAAATAAAGCCTGGTACATTTAGAAGGACAATCAGTTTTTTATTACAAGAATCATAGGGGGGGGGGGGGGGGCTTATAGTAATAATTTTCTTTAATCTACATGCAAACTTCTGTGGCACGTCAAATGTTTGTATGTTAAATGAGAATATATATTTAGGGCTAAATTTTCTGTATAAAGATGTACATTTTAAATATTATTTATGTTTATTATCATGATGCTCCACTCAGTATTAAAAAGTGCTGATGCCTTCTGTAATATCTTCAGATATGCCACATTGTGTTAGGCCTGTACCCACAGACCAAAGAAGAGGAAGGAAGGATTATCCAGTATGTAAAAACATGGTTCATTGCTCAATAAGTTCTTGTTTGTTTTCCATTATTGAACATTTCATTCATACAATTCTTCTTGATGGCAGCATTGTTATAAAGTCTTCAGTTTAAAATGTGATGTCCTATGCTTTTAGTGACAGACAAAATTTGTGTCAACAAAAATTTTTTTGTATTAAATTTCACAGTAAAGTTAGTTCATATTTTCACAAAAGATAATTTTTCATTATTATTTGTCCAAGAAATGTATTTAAGATGCATTAAAATGTATTTCATTATAAATAAAATATTTATTCTTAAGTTGAAGTCAATGAAACACTTGTTGTTTCAGACACTGGCTAGAGAGAGAGAGCCGAAACCCTTTAGAGGTGGGCCAGATCTGGTACCTGGTCAACATGCAGTGGTGGAATGTTTGGCTGGACTACGTCAATGCTGAGGTTAGCCTACTACTTATACGCACTAGGGATATACCAGTGGTTGGAACTATTTTTTTCCTGAAAGGTTTTGGGGTTCAATTATAATCTGCAACTAAATTTAAAAAAATAAGGTTGTGTGGTTATATTGTCTACTTAAGAGGCGTTTGACCAGTGTTATTTCTTTTTTCTAGTTCATTTCATTCATACAAATGCAGTGAAAGATAGTCTAATAAAACATTTATTTTTCTTTCCTGTCAATGAATAACATCACAATTTTATGAATAAATCATTTAACACTGCTTTGTCAATAAGCTAGCTTAGTTGTATGTCATTCATTGACAAAATGTATATTGATCTCCCCCTGTACTAGATGGACCCTATGAGTAGACAGCAGCGGGTGTCCAAGAGTAAGCAGCAACAGTCAATAGCATGGGATGATGACTGTGTGCTAATGGTCGGACCAGACAACATCAACCAGACATATCGGTACTCTATTCATTTTTTTTATATGTTCAAGTGATTAGCACTTTACCTGTTTAAATGAGAAAGGAGATAATAAAACGAATTTTGTCTTTGACTTGCTAACAAAATGTCATCCATTACAGGTCAACGGCCACCTCTCTGATACCACCTGACTCTACCCCCACCCACCGAGCCCAGGCCTCACCTAAAGCTTCCAGAAAAATGTTGGCGTTAACTACAAGCAAACCTCCTGCTATAAACAACAACAGCCTGCTCATCAACCCAACTAAGGTTTCAGCTCCTTTGTTACTTCTTCCATCATAAAGTTTTATTCTACTGTTACCAGGCCTTGTACTTTTTTACACCATCTAGTGTTTCACATGTTCTAAGTCCTGCTTTTAAACTTCAAAAAACATTATGGTCACTGATTGTTTCCTTTTGGTGAACTGTTTATCCCTGTGCCAAAAGATTTTTAAAAATATTCCCTCCCATTAGTTTTGTCTAGAAGTCAAATCTTGCCACTTTGTTAAGTTTGGTTATTCTCTATGTGTTTATCCCAGTGTCTCAAGATTTAAAAAATATTCCCTCCTAGTTTTGTTCAGATGAAAGTTAAACCTTCACTTCTTAAGTTTGGCTATTCTCCATGTGTTATTATTTATAGCATGTTATAATAGTGTGCCAAAAGTAAATGTAAGATTAATTTTTTTATAAATTAGATTTAGTCTAATACTAAAACTCTAATTACTATAATACTTTCACTCAATTGATTCTAGTTTCTGTTTGTGTGCTCTCTGTATTGCTAACACTAGTGTAAACTATTTATCCTCCAGTACATATCAATGACCAATGAAGGCGGGAGACTGAGGCGGGATGTTTTGTTAACCAGAGGAAAAGATTTTGAAATAGTCCCAGAATGCATCTGGAGAGCACTGACCACCTGGTATGGTGGGTCACCCGCCTTACCAAGGACAGTAAGTACACACTGTACTGGCATTGTACCTATGTCTACTGTACATTTCAACAGTAGCTTCATTCTTTAAGTGCTATTAAAAAAGCTCTTAACAAATTATTTTTAATACCTGTAAAAAAAATGTCAACGTCGTAATATAACTGTTTTCACCCTAACACCATTATTCATAAACTATTATAAACTTTACGGTGACACTGTAGAAAAATTTTAGTAGGATAATGAATATGTAATTGCCCAACTTGTATTTTTATTAGAACTTTTTTTTTGGTTCTGTAAAATTGTGTAAGTTAATTATTTAAAAATACGTGACATGACAGTCACTGATGTTTATGGCCTGGTGTCCTCCTGTTGCAGGTGATCAACACATCTAAATCTGGCAACACCCCTGACCTGGAGCTCTACCCTATTTGTGTTCGGATCCTTCGGCACCAGACCCCCAGCCAGAGGCCGCCCCCGGCAACAATTTTCACAGGGATGGTAGCAGCAGGGATGAGTATGTTTGTTTAGATGGCTATTGACTGTAATGTTTGTTTCAATGATGCTAAGGTTTCTCTAGATGACTATTGCCTGTTATGTTTGTACTACACATGTTGCTGTTTGTATTAAAATACCTGAACTTTGGGCATAGTGCTGACGACATTATCCCTTAATATGCTGAGGTCTCTAAAGTAAATTAACTCTACTTCATCTGCCACCTGTGTCTTGGGCATGAACGGGAAATGATGATGACCTAACTGTACAAACTTAAGAAAGAACAATAAAGTACATGAAATACAGAAGTAATAATCCAAACAAGTATAAGAAATCTCAATACAACAGATAGATTACAATTTTATATTTTGTTGACCTGTAGTAACATCTTGGCCTACAACTTCCTAATCCTAGGTCTGACAGCCAACCCAGCACAACCCCGGCGCTACCATGCGCACACAGCCTCCTTTAGTCGCAAGCACACCATGGCGCAGATCTATGAATTTCTATGTAACAAGCTGAGATTTTATAGGGAAGACTTTCGCTTGTGGAAAATAAACCCTAAAGATGACGTAAGTAGATGGATGAAGAAAGATCCTAGCAAAGTTTATTGTGTTGTGTTATTGTCCTAAATGACAACCATAACAAAACTGTATTTCAGCACCATATAATATAACAAAACTGTATTTCAGCACCATATAATATAACAAAACTGTATTTCAGCAACATATAACAAAACTGTATTTCAGCAACATATCACACCACTGGACGATGATGATCGCACAGTTGAAGACAATGAGATAGAAGATAATCAACAAATTTTACTGGAAGGTTGGTCATGATTCGTAAATTTAGTTTTTCTACACTAAAAATTTAAATTTTTAAAAATTTAAGCTAATTAGTTTAGGTAAACATTGTTTAATTTAATGTGGGGTTTATATTTTGCAGTTCGTAATAAGGACCTAACTTGGCCTGAAGAGATGTCGCAGCTTGCAAAAAACAAAACATTGAAAAAGGATGATGGTTAGTCACGTATTGCAATTTATAAAACTATCTCATACCTTAATTAATTCTTAAGGGGAAGTAAACCATTGTGCTGACATTGGGGAGGTAAATCATGTACACTGACTTTTGAACAGATTTGTCTATTCTTGTTGCAGTTCCAACTGAGAAAGGAGCTACAGGACTGAACAATCTTGGCAACACATGTTTTATGAATGCAGCCCTCCAGTGTGTGTCCAACACCTGGCCACTCACTCACTACTTTGCTGGCAACCTGCACCTGTTTGAGCTCAACAGGTGGGTGGTGGGTCTTTTACCCCAAACATTACCTGACTACCTGATACAGGATTTAAATATTACTGTACTCTTGTCTTTTACCCCAAATATTACCTGACTACCTGATACAGGATTTAAATATTACTGTACTCTTGTCTTTTACCCCAAACATTACCTGATACAGGATTTAAATATTACTGTACTCTTGTCTTTTACCCCAAACATTACCTGATACAGGATTTAAATATTACTGTACTCTTGTCTTTTACCCCAAACATTACCTGATACAGGATTTAAATATTACTGTACTCTTGTCTTTTACCCCAAACATTACCTGACTACCTGATACAGGATTTAAATATTACTGTACTCTTGTCTTTTACCCCAAATATTACCTGACTACCTGATACAGGATTTAAATATTACTGTACTCTTGTCTTTTACCCTAAACATTACCTGACAACCTGATACAGGATTTAAATATTACTGTACTCAAGTTGATAACCCAGTGTATTTAACTTCTGTATTTTTTGGAGTTTAAAATGACTGGCATATAAGATAGCCCCATTAGGGCTGGTAAGTAGGTCACCAACCAGTTCAATGGCTCATGCAGGTTTTATTGAGCTGTAGAACTGGATGGTGACCTACTTACCAGCCCTATTTCCCCAATTGAAATAATGATGTATGCTATATTCCAGCCTTTAGAGAAGCTACCCAACTTTAGACATATTCCTTAGTTTAAAAAGTCATCTTATACGTTGAAAAATAAACTATATATTTTCTTTTTTCATTTTTAGAGATAATCCGCTGGGAATGAAAGGTCATATAGCTCAAAGATATGGGGAGCTAATCAAAGATCTCTGGAGCGGAACATCCAAGACTGTAGCACCTCTTAAACTCAGAGTGAGTTCAAATGAAATAGCACTTTCTGTAACCATAGAACTTGTTCAAAAAATCATTTCTTTTTTTTTCAATAAATAACACAATAAACAACTTAAATTAGAGTAATTTTCTCAGTTTGCTTCTCAGATATATGTGCTGCTAGTTATTCCTCCTTCAGTTTCTATTATTAATTCTTATTGTGCAGAAATTTTACCTTACAAAACATGCTTTAATCAGAATAGCACACTTACATTAGTTGTTTTTTTACACAATTCCAACCAAGGCTATTTAGACCTGACAAGCAACCCATTGTTTAAATTTGAATTTATTTGTATCTCCCCTTTTCAGTGGACAATAGGTAAATATGCTCCAAGGTTCAATGGCTTCCAGCAGCATGATTCTCAAGAGCTGCTGAGTTTCCTATTGGATGGACTCCACGAGGATCTGAACAGAGTCCACCACAAGCCTTATGTTGAGCTCAAAGACAGTGATGGCAGGCCGGACAGGGAGGTGGCAAGGGAGGTAATAATGGACAAAAAAAATTAATTCACTTATTTTGATTTTTTTTTTTATAATATCGTAAAAAAATGTATACTGTTAAGTTACCTAAACATACTTTTTTTTTTAAATACTCCATTTTATTATGTGCAGACATTGATTAAAAAAAATAAATCTTTTTTCTATACTGTTTATTTTATCTAGGCCTGGGAAAACCATTTACTGCGGAATCAGTCCATCATTGTAGATTTATTTCATGGGATCCTCAAGTCCCAGGTCATGTGTAAGGAGTGTGAGCATGTCAGCGTCAGGTTTGACCCATACTCTCACCTTTCTCTACCCTTACCGATGGACAGTTGTATACACATAGAGGTCATAGGTCAGTCTCTTTAACATACTTGGTATCTTTTATAAATTATTCTTAATAAGATTCATTACAAAATCATTGAATTTTTTCTAATAATCTTAGTCTTATAAAAGAATTACATATTCTTAATTTTGATTTTATACTATAAAAATGTAACTATATTTAGTTCAAAAATTGGATGGCTCTGTCCCTGTCAAATATGGATTACGGCTGAACATGGATGAGAAATACAAAAGTTTGAAACGAGAGGTCAGCTACTTGTCCAACATTCCACCCGGGGAGCTCTTAATTGTAGAGGTCAATGGACCTAATGTCAAGGTTAGTGTCTTCAATCAAGCATTTTATTCTACTATTTTTAATTTGTTTGAAGAAGTATTGTTTAATTAGTAATCAAAGTAGACTGTACCTTTTTTTGTGTGGAAAAAGATTGTTACATATTTGGTGTCTGATTGTCTGGTTATATTTAATACAGAATCAGATTTAATTAAACAAGCATTTTTTATCATAAAGTTCCATTGTATACAATTTATAAAGTAATGATGTATCAATCATATTTGTTTAATCCACATTTTTATTCACATAATGTTTTTGTTCCACCATGTGCTGTTCCAGTTATTATTAGCAATGTCTTCTCCATCCACAGTCCCTCCCACAAGATGACCAGAAAATTCGCAGCCACCTCATCCCCTGCTCTCTTTTCTTGTACCAACTCCCCCCTCCCCCGCTAATCCCACAGATGACGGAGGAAGAGGAGAACTCTCAATCTGGCAGCAGGGAGAGTTTAGACTTGCCAGATAGGATTGCTGTTAAAGGTAACGTTTGATTGGTTTTTAGCTTACACTTGCCAGATATAAATGCTGTTAAACGTGAGCTTTGATTTGCTTTTAGTTTAGATTTGCCAGATATAATTGCTGTTTAAAGTAAGGTTGTTTTTTTTTTTTTCTAAAGTTGAGATTTGCCTATAATATGTTGTCTTTTATTTTAAGTTTACAACATTTAAGTGCACATGTTTGATTGTTTATTTTTTTTTATTTAAGGTGTCCTGCCACAAAATAGTCCAAAACTGAATGGCCAGCCTGTACAAATGTCCAAGTCCCCATGTCACTCTCGCAGTCCCAGCAATGTTAGTATAGCTAACACCAACAGCCTAGACCGTTCTGCTGAAAGATTTGAAAACTTCGTTATAGGGCTGCATAGAAAGATGGTATGTCGCTAACCAATAGTATTGCCAAAGTTGATGCAATATAAGACATTTTAACTTACATTTCTCTCAGATTCTTCTTAATTCTGTTGGTTACCTAAAACTTGGTTATTATATTCATTACTGTAAATTGATTGGTTTATTGTCTTGTTGTATTTTTAATGGGCATTTATGTAAAATTATTTCTGATTATCAAGATATTCTCAATTTGATCAGACCCTTTTTTAAAATTTTCTCAGAACCTGATGGATGTTTACTTTATGTCCTCTCAAAAATCTCGGCCGAGCTTGTTCGGCACGCCCATCATTATCCCGAGGTCTGAGAACACAACCAATCAAGAGCTGTATCAGTTTGTCTGGAACCAAATTGCAAGGCTCGTTAGTCCATTGCCGCCATCAGAATTAAAAGTGACCAATCATGCGCAAGACTGGTAAGGCCTAGCTTTAAAGTATAAAAAATGTTCAGCTGTTCATCATAGTATGTGAGCCATCAGACCATTTATTTATTTTTTTATTTTTTTTAGTGATGACAGCCTTGGCTATGAATATCCTTTTATGCTGAAGGAGGTGCAGAAAGATGGTTTTTTATGTTACAAATGTCCTTGGTACAGGTAGGATTTTTTTATTCAAGTGTAAATGTCACAAGTTTCTAACACTTTAAAGCATTGATGTCACGTAAAAGCTACAAAGAAATCTAAAACAAATTGTTGAGACTTTTACTCTGAAGACAAAAAAAATAAATTGCTAAGACTTGCATGTAAGCATACAAAATTTAAATGGTTGCTTTTCTTTAAGCGCTTAAGAATAAATCACTCAGAATTAGATCTAAAAACTGTTTATTGTTCCAGATTTTGTCGGGGTTGTCGAGTGGAATGTAACACTGAATTGTATGGCAAGGGAAGCGCTTTTCTGGCAATAGACTGGGAGGCCACTGCCCTGCATTTACGCTACCAAACCACACAGGAAAAGGTCAAAGCAATATTTTTATCTTACACTTTCACTGCTAACCCTTGAAAAACATAAATAGAGTAGAGTGTAGTGATTATCTTCCCTTATAGATAATCCTAAGAAATTAAGCTAAACTTAATTACATTAGATAAAAAAGATTCATAAATATTTATTTTAATGTTAGGCCAGTGATTCTTAACCCGAGTTCTATCAACATGTCAGTCTTAGGGGTTCAGTGTGGGTCAAGACACTCACCCATCTCCTATGATTCATGATCGGATTTTGTCCATGCGGACAATAGAACTATTAAGAAGGATTTGGTGAATGCGCACATGAAACTTGTGGGGTTTGTTACCTCCAAAAAGGTTAAGAACCACTGTGTTAGGCATATTAAAATAACTCCCATTTGAATAAGATTTTAAAATTGTGTCCCCTTTATTTCCTTCCAGTTTTATGAAGAACACACAAGTGTGGCATATTCCAGACTAAAACAAACTGAACCCATTGACCTTGACACTTGTCTACAAGCATTCACCAAGTGGGAGGAGTTAGACGAAGATGAACTCTACTATTGCTCAAAATGTAAAAAACATTGTCTTGCAGCAAAAAAACTGGATATCTGGAGGCTACCTCCTATACTGGTAATTTATTCCCCTAATTTTCTTTTTACTCAAGATTTTATAGTATTTTTAAAATATTAATAAATACTTTAAAATCCTACTATTAATATTAAGAAATCAAAAAGCTGGTTCTCTTTCAACAGATTATAAACCTTAAAAGATTTCAATTTTTAAACGGGCGCTGGGTCAAATCACACAAGATAGTCAACTTCCCGCTGGTGGGCTTCGACCCTAAAGCCTATCTGGCAAGCCGCGAGCCTGTGGACACCACAAACACTGACCACAATAAAGGAGGCCATAACAACACGGCGGATAATGACGTCACACCTCAAGATCCGCCTGATGGGAACGGGTGCGGGGACACCATCAGCAGCAACATCCTTGCCAACCACTACGGGTCCAGCACCTCCAGCCCGCCTGTACGGTTGGGGACCAGAAGCTCCGCCTCTTCCAATTTAGATTCGGTCAACAGTAGTCTTTCAGTGCCTATCTCAGGTCTCGTCACTGCCATTCCACCTGACACCAGCAATTACATTCATGTGAGCACGTCAAACTCTTACCTTATGTTACATTTTCAAGCATCGTTTAATTGTATATTTTTACTATTCTTCTTTTAAACTAATCTTATTGATTAAATATATTTCATTTCATAGCCTAATTTAATTTACTGATTTTTTTTTTTATTTATACTCTTTTTTTTTTTTTACTCCAATCTTGTTGACTGATTTATATTGTAGACCAGTTTCATTTTTTTTAATCCACTTCTTCATCAGATCTTATTCATTTATTTCATTCTGTAGCTTAACTTACTTATGTTCTTTAAAGTTATTTACTTCTCCTGTGAAAGTAGAGAAAAGTCATTTGAAAAAAAAAAATTTTTTTCTCAGAATCAAAACCAGCATGTGTCACAGTCTCTCCTCAAGCCAGGCGTGCTATCAATCAAATCCACAGCTAATGGTTCTTCCAAAACTGGCATAATATCCCACGCCATTGGTGAGTTTACAACCTTTGCAAAGTTTCTATTTGAACACTACTCTCTGTTGAACACTGCTCTCTATTCCATACATCTTGTCTTCTTCTTCTTCTCTTCTTCGTTCTTAATTATTAGTGTTGAAGGGGATCGAGATTTATCTGCCAGTGGGTTTGAACTCGAGACTGTTCGAATGTATCAACGATGAGCTTTTTGCCGACTTGACCACGCCTCCAACACAATTAAGCGTTACGTGTCAACTGGTTTTGCGCCATTGAGGCCATTGACTCCGATTTCAGCCTGCTTTTCTTTTTGGATTTGCTTCCATAGCCTTTGTCCAACCAAGAACAAACTACAAGGCAGCAGTTGTTTAATTTTGGAGTTGTCTCTCCTAGAAGAGTGGCTGTCCCCAGCTAACGAGCCTCATCTGCCCGAGGGTTCGAACTCGAGACTTTTCGGTTTAGCAACCATGAGCTTTACCGACTCGACCACGCCGACCCCATACATCTTGTTATTTCATGTGTTTTTTTTTTAACCAAACTTATTCTTCATTGTTAAATATATTTTTAATACAGTAAAAACTCAATCTCTCCTAAAATACCTCTGTGGTTTTAAACCTGTTTCTTCTATGCCTTCTAAGATTTTAACACAGAAAAAAAAATTGCTATTTCAGATGCCAGATTAAAAGAATTTGACAAGGAAGATTATACAAACGTTCGATACAACTTGTACGCCATGTCTGTAAGTCATCTAGGACATCTGCGCCAGTTTAATGCTTCATATTTCCACACTCTTCATTATATTGTGTTATTTAGTCACTCATCTTTATACTGTACTATTGAATCACTCATCTTTATACTGTACTATTGTGTCACTCATCTTTATACTGTACTATTGAATCACTCATCTTTATAATGAACTATTGAATTACTCATCTTTATAATGAACTATTGAATCACTCATCTTTATACTGAACTATTGAATCATTCATCTTTATACTGTAGGGCCAACTATTGAGTCGCTCATCTTTATACTGTACTATTGAGTCACTCTTCTTAATACTGTACTATTGAGTCACTCATCTTTATACTGTACTATTGAGTCACTCATCTTTATAGTGTACTATTGAGTCACTCTATACTGTGTTAACGAGTTTAAAAATCTGTTGCAGTGTCACACAGGTATACTTGGAGGGGGGCACTACGTTGCTTATGCAAAAAATGAAAAGGATCGCTGGTTTTGTTATAATGATAGCAGTTGTAAGGTAAATAACATGGGTTTTTTTTTTATGTCACAGGTCTCATTCTTAAATGTTAGTAGACAACTTGATCACAATTCTGACTACAAACTGAACTAGAAAAATAGTATGCTGATTAAAAAATAGAATGCAAAAATCATGAAACAATTAAAATACATTTTAAAATGCAAAACTCATGAAACAATTAAAAATAAATTTGTATTGTTGACAGGAAGTCCCTGAACATCAGCTGGACAAAAATTCTGCCTACATTTTATTTTACCAGCGAGAGAATGTGGATTTTAGTCCTTTTATGCCAGATACAACTGGACGAGAGCCGGATACTTCAGAAATTGATGACGAGTTTGAATCGGATTTCAAGAAAATGTGTATACTACAGTAAAACTTTGTGTAACCAGTGTATTTATCAAAGCATTCTTTAAGTCACGCTGTATCTCTGTTTCAAAGGCCCACATTTTTAACATAATTTATTTTCAAGTATAAAGTGCTTTGTTTTCAACTCACAAAATAGATTTATTACTTTCAAATTTTGAAGAAAATTTGATTTTTTTATGTTAAAAGTTTTTCTCTTGCAAATTGTTTTCTGCTTGAGAATGTGGCTTGATAATTTGAAGAATTTCAAGGAAGAAAAATCAACAGAGTAATAAATTTTTTTGTGAATTCCGAAAAATGTACTTAAAAAAAACTAATTCGCCTGGATATTCCATTGTAATCATGGCCTTAAATGGGTTCTTAAAAAGAAAACAGTTTGTCCCTACAACATTCCAGTCAATGATGGTCATGGCCACAATATTTCTCAACCAATGGGAGCAAGTGTTGCAGTATGTTTGTGCTGAGGACAGAGTTATCATCCTTGACAGTCAGTATTTATGGGTCTGTGCAATCTTATTTCTTTTCCCACAATCCATTATTTTCTCAGTGAATTAGTTTGATCATCTCTCATCTCTATCATGTGACGTCTGCTCAATAGTATCCAAATGTGCCTGAGCTAATGGCTCAGTATCCCAGCATGACTTGACATAGCAAGCGCGGATGTTTATGGAAATAATTGTTTTGTTTCATCAAACTGGATCCTGGGAAATGTAGTTGTATTTTTTTGAAAGATATTTACTTGTATATTTTTCTGGCAATGAAAGAAAATAATTTCAAATTCTGTTTCCCTCTCATTGTGCCAGTAGTCTGTTGTACAGCAGTGTAAGAGTTAACATACATGGATACAAATGTTTGACAAATACTGAAGACTATTTAGCCGTTTTGTTTCGCTGAAGTTTTGTGATACCAGTTCTGGCTGTGAATGTTTTGTGGTACTTGGCATCCAGAATTACAATAAACTTAGCTATTTGTAGTTTTGCATAATTGCCAGTTTAGTGAATGGGGGTGGAGGGGAGTTCTATGTGACAGACTAAATAGGTCAGACACATTTTACCCCTTACCTTACAGACACAAAAATTGTGTCAATTGAATTGTAAATATAAAATAACCAAGTTATTAGTTCTGTTTTTATATTTATATTTAAAAGAATATTGTTTTCTGTAATTAAATTATTACAGAATGAAATTTTAAAAAAGGTTTATAAATAGTTATAATAATTTATAAATAATTATTCCAGAGAGGGAATCTTCAGTTTGTTGGGTGTTTTATGGTGTTTTAGTTAAAACAGCTAGTTTAACCTTTGTATTGAGACTTGTTTGCACACTAACTTTGGCATCACCAAGAAAACAGCTTTTCAATTTCTAACTCTAGAAGAGAAGATTACCATTTACTACTTTCAGTTTCTAGAAGAAAAGAGTACCATTTACTATTACTTTCAGTTTCCAACTCCAGAAGAATAGATTTCCATCGGCAGTCTACAACACCAAATGTAGCTAATACTGGTGAAAAATGTTTTTCATTTTTTTAACCATGTACATTTATATTTTATATATTATATTATTAAGCATGGACAATCAAAATGTTTCATAGAACATGACAGTTACCTTTTTGGATATTTTATTTATTCCTTAGCTTTGTAGCCATTTTATAAATTTAAAGATCTAATAATAGAAACAAGATGTATAATTGTGGAGAAGCAATTGTTAAACTTGTCTGATTTGAGCATTTCTTGATGTTCCAATGCATTGGAAATATGATTGTATAGATGGTTTTCAAAACTTGGGGTTTATGAGAAGTGGCTAATAGTCAGGTTCATTGATGCATAAAATCAAAAATTAAATTTGCTCATATCTGCTGCTCTGTAACTATCCAGAATTTTTGTTTTGTCCTTCGGCTGCTTCATTTGTTTCACTTTTATACCTTTACAATTGTTTCCTTTATGATTTGATACTAGATTTTAATTATTTAATTATTTGTAGTAGAAAATGTTAAGGAACACAGATGCCTAAGAAATGTATCTTTTGCTATAGTTTTAATTTGTCCATTTATTTATTTATTTTTACATCGAATTAATCCATTTACCATGTGCCACTTTTGTTATTTTTTTGGTTTTTTAAATTATGCAATCTATTCGTAGGAAGAGCTAGCAGCTTTAGTGAAATAAGTTGACTTTTGTTTTATTTACAAAGCATTAATATTTTTTTAAACTTCAAGAATATTAAGACAACTGTTATTCAACTAAAAGTATTTATCAGAATAATTAGCAGCATGGTAGATGATAGCAGTTAAAAATATAATTTAAATAATATAAGTTAAATAATATAAGTTTAATGCAACTATTTAGTTAAATTTGTATCTGTTGTACTGATTTAGTTTTCACATCATAGTATAAGTACAATTATATTGTATAAAGCACATGTCAGTTATGAATGACCATAACTTTATGAGATGGGTTACTTTAGAATCCTTATTTATTATTTGCGGGATCATGTTAGCAAACATGATAGAAGGGTTTACTTTGGAAAATGGTTCATTAAAATATTGGGAATGATTTATTTATTTTAAATGATTATTTTTATGAATAGTTGTGCCAATAGCAGTATATACTATTAAAATACTATTTGTCTAATGTTTTCTACTATGTTTTGCTGACTATAAAGCCTTAAAAACCATTTCATTTGCTGTTATTTATTTCATTATTTTTTTTAGCATAACATAATGTTATGTTTATGTCAGCTGATTTATGATGTGTATGTATTTATATCATAACCCATAAAACATGTAATTATGACATAATTGGTGTATTGGACCTGGTTTTGTTAATGGTCCTCTTTAATTATGTTAATTCAGTTCCAAACACAAGTGTAAAACACTTTAAGACACATTTTAAATTATTAAAATTTTAATTCTAAAATCAATGGAAAGATTGTGATTTTTGTTGGTGCTATACCATCTAGGCATTGTTGGCTTTGTTAAACTTCTGTTGGTTTTTTTTTATGGTTTTTTTATGAGTTTACATTATTTTTTCAGGTTTTCTATGTATTTATACCATTTAAAAATATTCAAATGTTAATGAAGAGTTTTGAAAACCCTAGTTTTTTTTTGTTCTTTAAATAACCATAGGTTTTGCTAAAAGTTAACAAGAATTTGGTTGTCCCTTTTAAATTTTCAGTTTGCAGTAGTCTGTTGTACAAAAGTTAAAAAAGCTTTTATATTCATAAATCATTTTTAAAATATAGATCTAAATTAATTGAAGCTTTCCCATAAAGTAATACAAAAATACTTGAATGAGTTTTGATATTAAAAGTTTTTTAAATATCATAAGACAATTATAATTATATAAAAGAATATAGATTAGCTATTTAATCTTTCTCTGAAAAAATTAGATGATCCTTTCATTTAGTGATTTTCATGTGTATCAAGATCAAGAAATTTTCCAGCTTACCAGTTCCGTCGGCTCTTTTGGTATAGGAAATTAATCTAGTAAGAAATAGATATTTAGATAGCTTATTATTTTTAACCCCATTTTTTTTCTCAATTATTTTTTCTTAAACAATGGTTTAAATTTTATTATTTATTTATACATTTTGGTTTAAGTGCATCAAAATACACATGATTTTTAATAACTGTCCAATGGTATAGTTAGAATTCGCTTTCTTTTAGTAGTAGAAAAATATAATTTGACATGGTTCTTTCAAATGTCTAAATATTCTATTTACATCAACAGAATGCTTCATATCTTTATATTTTTGTATATATAAATAGAATATTGTTTTTCTTTTTAATATTGTAAATTTTGTGAATCTACTCTAGCTTTAAATGATGGGATAGTAGACATTTAAATGTGATAATTGTTATGATTCCACAGAGATAGAGCTGGTAAGGTCACTGAGAATTTCCTGCTTTTCATTAGCTGCTCCTTTACTAATGGAGTTGTCTCCCATAGTGCAGAGAAACCTTTTCTTTTTAAAATGAAAATTGTTGTGGTGCACCTACACCATTTCTAATGAAGTCTCGAGTCTTTTAGCTAGATATGCTTTCACATGATTGTAGGGCCAGCGTATAGACTAGCATCTTTTATTTTCAACAATCAAAAAAATTTACATTACTTCTTTAAAAAATAAAATAAGCTGATCAAGCTTCAAACTTTTCAAGCCTTTTTTTTTGTCAGTTAAAGATTTTCATGCAGCCCAATAACATTTGTATGTGCTTTCTATGGATTTTATGACTAGGTAAACCATATAGATTGATGTATAAAATGTTGAAACTATGTTAAGCTTTCCGTTTCAACTATGTTAACAAATTTTTTCTTGATATGCAGTCTGTGATGCCATTTTTACGTACTAATTAATTCTTCATAAGAAAACAGTTGTGTAGATTTGTTTTATAATGTGTGCACATTTCATCAAATAAATCTCCAATCATGACTCAAATGTTTTAATTGCTTTATGTAAACTGTCACTGTTCACAAATAACAGAAAAGTGTGAAGGATGAAAAAGTTTATTTTCTTTCGTATTTACAAAGAACCATGACTGTACAACATGAGAACAGCAACCATGATTACAACACAAATATAATGAAGGGAATCACCTGGACAGGTGAAAAATGTGGAATTTAGAAATTCAAATTCAGCTATATTTGTTACATGTTTACTATTGCTAGTACTAACATTATACCCATGTTAATCTCTTGGTTTAATGCATCAAAACATTTCTTAAATCGGAGATTTTTTTTAAATAGCATCTAAGCAACATCCAATAAATCACATTGTGCGCATCACAAAAGATTAGTTTATGGAAGTTGTAATATTTTCTTACCCCATCAATATGCAATTATATGCTTAAATTGCATTTCATATCCCCTACCACTTGAAGCAAAAGTTAATTAGATTTTATAACATAAATTAGTCAAACATATTTTTACAATATAAAAAGTGATGATGTAAGCCTGCTACCTCTCATCTACTAAGGGTGTGCCATCACCCTGTGGGGATGCCCCACCCAAGCTGCTGCCCCCAAATGGAGACTCAAAACCTTTGCGAGCTGGACTAGGAGCTGTGCGGGGTGAAGGTCGTGGTGAGGCTCTGGGAGATTTGGTGGTCTTCTTACGGTTGGCCCACATCTCCGCGGCTCGTGCCCAATCCATGTCTGCAGCAGATGATGCCTGGTTTTTGTCATGTCTTGGGGTACGTGCTGCTGGGGTTCTGGGTGTGGCACCAGGCCAGGGTGCCCCAGGGCCGACCATTGGTCGAGGTGTTGGTTGATATGAAGGTGTGTTGTTGACATGAGGGCCTGTCCTAGGAGTTGTCATGTGGCCGCCATGTTGAAAAGATGATGATGGTGTCAACATAGGGGTCATCACTGGAGTAACACCAGGCTGAAAAATATTCAAATAAAACTTATTCTATTGTTGACATAAATTCTTTATTACAGGTACAGTATAACCTTAAAAAACTACAATACCTGAAAAGAACCATAGCTTCCATACGGTCTTTGTGGTGTAGTTGTGGGGGCAGCTCGTGGGGTAGTTCCGTGTGGTGTGGCTGTTGGAGCAGCACGTGGGGTGGTTCCATGTGGCGTTGCCATGTGATGACCATACATCCCATTAGACATACCAACTGGAGTGCGGCCTACAGGTGTCCTTCCTGGAGCTGGTGTAGAAAATATTTAACCGTTGTTATTAATTAGATTCTAACCACATCAAACAAATAAGCCAGACATTAAGAACATAAGAAAGTATTTGATCAAGTCAAGGATTTACATTACATGCAGAGAGTTTACTTTAAAAGCATGATTTTTTGAGGCAGTATAAATGATTTTTACATAATTTTTTACAAAACATAATTTCTTTTTAAGCAGAAACTACAATTTTTAAAACTAAAAAGCTTTCATATGCAATAAACCCGTGGCACAAGATACAAAATGCCACTTATTCTGCCTGCAAGATCAGTATAGAATTGTATTTCATTAGTTTACACTGCTAGGCCACACCTTCCTATCAATAGTCAAACAAATGCATTTAACAACTTACTCTGATGTGCAGCAGGAGTTGTATAGGCTGACAGGGCTGGGGTGCGACTGGAAGGTGTTCCTGTAAATATGGCAACAAATGATGAGATAAACATTCAAACACAACAGCTAAACTGTTGAGTAAATCAACTGGGTCTCAAAGATAAACCACACCAGGAACTTTTAGTAGAAAACCTGATATAATTTTAGCACTTTTCACACAGACAACTAACCTGGAATTGGATCCCTAAAATGCTCTTTGAACCATCTGATCAAAGAATTGACCGATTTGAAATTCTGGTGCCTATAACGGATCCCCTCAGGAGCAACGGTCACGTACTCGTGTCTGGCAACATTACGTGGCATGTAAGAAAGAAGGAATTTCCCTGGATACTGACGCGAGGCACTCATAAGGTAGGGGATTCTGAAAGTAAATAGAATATATTATCAATATTGCTTTTCTGCAATCTAATACTAATATCAGGTAAACTATTGCTAATTGTTCAAGTCCCTTAAGTTAAGTCATGTTCTAACCATTTGAATTAAGTGGTTTGTTACATATACCAGTTGCAGTTGTGGCTAACAGGGCCAGAAATATACTAAAGTAAACTAAAACACAGACTAACTTGTTTAAAAATTAGTTATTACTTACTTAAATGCAGCTTTTTTCTTCTCCTCTGTTAACAACTTGTCCAAAATTTCCCTTTTCCCTCCATCAGAATCTCTGTAATACTTAAAACTTAAGATGTCCCGAACAGTTGCTGCTATGGGCTGAATGTATCGGGCAATAATTTCATCCAGATCTTCAAACTCCTAAAGCAAGTCAGTCAAAAGTTTAAAAATTAATGTAGATAAACTCAATTTTCCATCACATTTTTAACTAGATACTGATAATTTACTTTTCTAGCTTACCTCCCCTGCTATCCACAATGACTTTCCAAGACTAAAGGCATTCTCTTTGCCTTCCTCTCTGATATCAATATGCTGAAGAATTCCATCAGCCACTTTCCATGTTGCTGTCAGATGGTCAGAACCCTAAAACACAAGTCGAATGAACACTATAAATACATACAATTTCACCACTAAATTTGTTGAAATAAAATCATTGTAAAAATGAAATACCTTGCTACTTGGACGAATGATCACATCACCCTGATCCATGTTAGTCAACAATTTTTCACATTCCTTATAACCAACATTGTGAAAATAGGGGTGGGCAATGACACGCTTGATGTATGCTAAGAAGGATACATGTCATTAGCATGCATGCTAATATATTATAAAAATAATACATGACAATTATTGTCATAAACTAAATTTATACATCTAGCCTATAAAACTGTCATAAGATATAATTACTTTGTCTGGCTTGTAATTTCTTTTTTTCATTTTCCTTGTCAATTTCTGCTTTTTCTGCATCATAATCGTAATAGACGTCTTTCTGAGGTCTGCAATAAACATGAACATTAAAATTTACTTAACCTAATTTTGAGATGTTTATGTATCGTATCGTATAATTACTGTAAAAATTTTCATAACAGGCTAAATTAACAATGTTAACTAAACCAAACAAAGTATCCCATTCATCATTTTTCTTTTCCGTTCATTGCTGAACATGCCTCTAAAAGCTTTCCACTCCCCACGGTCTCCTATCACTGTTCTCCAGTAAAATGTTTCATTATCAAGGGTACATTTAGGATTACCTCCACATGCCATCTTTGTCTGCCAGATCAGAAGATTTGCTGGTGAGCTCAACCTGGAACCTTTCTATGTCAATCTTGGTGATACGACAGTGAATTGTCATCCCAATCTGTACCCTCTCTTCTGGGTCCCGCACCATGTTGTCACTGATGTTTTTGGTATGGATGAAGCCTGTCACACCACTGTCCAGACGACACTTGACACCAACCGCGGCGCCAGGACAGTTGCCACCATCAAAATGGCTCCAGACCTAAACAGTTGATGTGATGTATGTTTAATTTCTTCACATTTATAAACACATACAGAGGAAGTTGTAAAGCAGAGAAACTGAACACTTACATCACTGAGCTCTGGGAACTGAGTTGAGTGACAGAATGGGCACTGCCACAAGCCAGTCTCATCATCTCGCACTGGGTTGGCTTGATCTAGCTGCTCACCCTGGGGACGTTTGTGTGCAATACCTGTCACTTGAACCTGCACCAGTTTACCTAGATTGAAAATCATTCAACCATTATTTATGGCAATTGGTTACTGTAACAGTCAAGAAATAGTTAATTTTTGTACATGATTTAAAATGTTTACACCCAAATAATTTGTATGCAAGGAAATAAATAAATGCATTGCTAAATGTTTAGTTTAAGTGTGCTAAATGTTCGCTTACAATATACACTTGAAGTTCTCTTTTTGAAACTGCTGGTCTATGGGGGCAAGTAAAACAGAGTTCACCTGTTTCTCTGACCTCAGCATATGAAGGGACAGTGGTGAGCACTATGCCCAGCCGCCTTTACTTAATGTACACTTACCAACATAAAATGTTTCTGGTGTCTCTTTAGTTAACATGTTGAATCTTTCTTCTAATGATGGAGATCTATATGGAGTTCTCAGATCTTTATACCTCTGATTTAACTCAGCTCGGATATCATACAAAGTTATGTGCTTGTCTCCATAGCCCTATCAAGGATTTAAAGGAAAAAAATATAAAATAAGATAAAAATTGTACATTTTTAACTAAATTTATCTAACATTTACCTCAGATCAGCAGTTTTGCACTTACTTGCCGTTCCAACTCTTCAGCAAAGGCATCCAAATCCAAGTCCTTCAGCCTCTCTGGGCTCTCAAGAATTTCCTCTAAAGCAGAGGCTGGGTTGGCATCTTCCGCAGTGTCATCGTACTCCAGAGCATCCACAGCCATTTTACGTGCCCATTCATAAGCCTCTGGATGAACCCGAGACCCATCCAGAACATCAACGTAAACATCAGATCTGGAATCAGAACAAATTTTTTATTCAATGAGCACACAAATGAGTGCCTAATATCAAAAGCAGTCTGACCAGACACAAGCAATTAGTTGCCAACTCACGTGTCTCCAAGCTGGTTTGTGTCTATCATGATAAAACCAGCACAGTTGATAAAAACTTTAGGCCCCATATCACAGATGGACACCAGCTGTGTTCTGTTCTCTAGTCTGCTGTTATTCTGTTTCAGTGTCTGAAAAGAATTTTTTACACATAATCTTTAAGAGATAATGTTTATGACTGACACTAAAAAAATGTTCAGCATGTATCATACATATGAAATAAAATATCCAGAATGGATATAAACAAGTGCTATGCAACTAATTACCAGAATAAAACAATTCTTACTTTGATTATTTGTGAAGCTTTCCTTGGACCCAAGCCACACACAAATTGTAGCAGTGGGGCTGTGTAAGGGAAATTCAAGACCTGATTGATATCCACCCCCACTTCATTTACTCTGTTGACAAATTCTAGATAAAGGGCTTCAAGCAATTCTTCTTTAGGCACGCTATCCTAAAATGAGATTGTACATATCGATTAATTCACAGTATAGTTTAACACAATTTATTGACAAGCAATTATTATTTTCTCTACATATGTTAATATAAAAAAACTGATCAACAAATAGTTAAACCAACCTGGAGTGAATGATATTTGAGACAGAGGATATCTTCATCAGGATTACACAACTGAGCAAATTCCAAGAGTGGATCCTGCAGTCTTCGAGCAATTGAGATGGCATGCCTTAGAGGGGCAGGATAGTCTCGAAACTCATTCTGTTTAGAGAAAAAACAGATTTTATTCATTTATTTAAACAAAAATGGCAAACAATATTGGTTTAAATACTAAATTAAATACTATTTTTAATTTTATTTTTTTCTTTACCTCAGCCCTCTTAGTATTCTCAAAAATCATGGCCAATTCATTGTCAATCAACTCCACATTGATGGCTGGCATCTGTTGCTCCATCTCCAACTCACTGATAATGCCTTTTATGTCGTCAATAATCATCAAAGCTTGACTGGAAATGTAAAAATAAAATGTTGAATGAGTTTGCATGTTAAATTAAGACACAAAAAATCATGGTATGGAAAATGTAAGGAAACACAAATGAAGTCATTTGACAACAGTAAGGCACTCACCGTGACTCCGATGTAACAGCTATAACATGGGGTTTCTTTTCAGCAATGAATTCTTTTAATTTCTCCATATCTTTTGCCTGAAATTATTTTTTGAAATATGAAAGGTCCATAATCTTACCCATGGTACTATTTAGCTTTTGTAAATAAATAAATAAATAAAAATGTAATAATAAAGAACATTTTTTAAATAATTGCACACCTTTCCCTTTTTATCCAATTCTCTCCATGCATTTTTACGTTTTGTGAGATTCTCCAACCTGATGTATTCCATTACAGATGCATCACCATCAATCAGTGCACCAAAGGCAGGTGTATCCCTAAGATTAAAAAGTGTTTTAAATAACGTCCTTATTCTTTTTTAAAATAAAACAATGTTTTACATTTTAGTTTGATCAATAACTACAAGCCTACTTACTGGCTAGTTGAGAAAGCTATGCCTAAAACTTTCAGTCCATCCTCATTGTTTGATTCATCAAATTCATCTTCAAGCTGCTGATCCATCTGATATGGGGCCACTTTCAGCCAGTTGTACAATTTCCTTGCACAAGCCTTCAGTACAAATAAACAAACTTTTACTATCAAATCATCAAATGACTTTGAAAAATACAATCTATATGCAGCAAATAATTGAATAACATTTTGTAAGTGTACTATACCCGCAGCACGCCTTCCCTTGCTTCACTTGACAATTTAGCTCTTAATTCTTTCTCCATTTGAGGGTAGAGTATCTGGTAGAGTGCACGCTTCAAGGCTTCACTTCTTTGTATGTTCCACTGCTGGACAAGATGGCTGAACTCATCCTAAACAGAGAATAGAAATTAGTTCATAAATAATCAACTCAGGATACTAAAGTATTCTGCACAACAGCCTTTTGTTAAAAAAAAACTTACTCTATAGAAAAGTTGTTTGATCTCTTCAAAATAGCTGGTGCTGCTTGTGCTTTGTTCATCTTCTTCATCCATCTTGATGGATATGGTCAACAGACCTTCTTCTTCAGCCTAAAAATAATTGGGAGAAAAAAGTTACATATAAAAAAAATTTTAAATTGTATTTAGGGAAAGCTATTGGAAAACAACTTACCATTAAGAGTTTAAGATACTGGTCATCCTTTAGATCTTTGACTGGTTTACCTCTCAGGTACTTGAAAGTGTAGCAGTTGTGGCTTTCATCAATCAGCTAAAATGATAAAACTCTCTGTTAAGGAACATACAGGGCAACTACAATTCTAATACTACAGGGATGAAATATGAACTGACAAAATGTATGAACTAACCAAATGGTAGTGATTCTTTTTATTAAACAACTTAGAATAAGGGTCTGAAAACTTTCAAATTTAATATTTGACTTTTACTATATAAAAAGTAATTTGGAGGCCACAATGGAAGTTTTATTTCTGAACGCTTGGTATTGCAGAAATAATCTGAACAATAATTTGAAATGAATTTTAGAAGTAGAATACTTTTCCACTCTTTAATTTTTTTAAACAAAAATTATATGAACACACCACGTTAGTGTGTAGCCAATAGCAAAATTTCTTTCTTACCTATTTAAGTTTTAACTTTATTTATTTTTACTACAATAAACAATTCATTTACCTTCATGCCTTTTTTGGTAGGATTAACTCTCAGCTTAGCCCTCTCTTGGAAAGCTGTTCTGACACTAGCCCTGACAAGAGGATCATGGGACAATTGCATTGCCACCATGTGCTGACAGCCTTTCAAAACATCTTCTGGAGTTGGGAATTGGCTAGAAATATTTCATGGATTATTATGCTAAAATAACTGAGAAGAGCAAGGAATATTTAAAATGAATAAATGTATCTTTATTGTACACATTTAAACTAAGAAGCTATTTTCTCCCTCCCCCACCAGCTTGAAATCTTTAGCTACTAAAGTAAATTACTTACGGGCATACATAATCTTTAGCCAGCTCTAATGGCTCTAAAGGACACTGGCTGACATCATGACGCTGGTAATTATCTCTTATATTCTCTCCAAACTCATGAGGCTTAAGACCAAACTGGCGTGTTATTTCGTCTGATGATTATAATCAATACAAATAATTACTTACTTAATCCTCATCACTCCTTGTGGAGTATAAGGCAGCAATAAATCTCTGCCATTTCACTAATACAAATAATTACATTAACAAAAATATTTTAAAAGTAATTACTACTTTCAAGGCTAAAAAATTGATAAGCAGGGTTTTTACCAAGTTTGGCTGCAAGGCAAATGGAATAGCCACTTTGACGTTGAGCTTGTTTCATTGTGCTTCCTTTAGGCTTTGGATCAGCCTCTGCCTCCCCTTCTTCTCTGGGTCTATTTTGCTCATTGTTCCTCATGTTGGGTATTTCATGCCCATAGTACAAGAGAAAATTTTGGTACACATCACGCAGCTCCTCAGGTGTTTGGACATTCTTCACCCTATTTGAATCATTTTTAAAGCTAGTTATACATCTTGTGTAGTTTATGCAACAATCAAGAACTATGTTTCATAAAGTTGATATTTTCCTATTTTGTTTTCGAGACTTTTGAATTAAAAATTTATCATACAGTCTTGCTGTGATTATTTATCAACAATATTTTATCAATTTTGTACAAAATAATTTTAAAACAAAAACCTCACCTCTCTATCTCTGTCTCTGTGATAGGCCTGAACAATACAGTAGGCTTGTCTGGATCAGAGTACTGCTCATAAAGATAGTCTTTCATTTTTTCAAACAACCTTGTTAAGTTAGTGCGACGTGTGCACAGTTGCATCCACTGATGATAAAAAAAATTATATTAGTTAAGAAATTATTTTTTTCAAAAGGATAAATAGCTTTTAAATATAAACTTTTTAGCAATAGTAAACCTTTTCATCCCAGTGGTAAACTTTCCACAGATCATTAATATTCAGCTCTGGCTCAACATATTCCTTGCGATAGAATGCAATAAATGGAACCTGGAGAAAAGAATAACATATGGGTCAACATTTTGTATCTCAAAACTTAAATAATGACTTTTAAAATAGTTAATTATAAATTAGTAATAAATCACAATAACAGTGGAAAATCTAACAACCTCCATTCTATGATTTCTCATAAATCCAACAGCTTGCTTTATTTTGCTTGTCATTGCATTAGGTGTTCTGCGGCTTGATGTGTTGGTTGCTCCCATGTGATCAATATCTAAGTATGTCTAGAAAAAAAATAAAGTAAGTCAATACTTAAACAAGACCCAATAACCTCGAGGAGCTACCTAATAACTAAAATTGACTACTTAACCATGCTAGAATAATGGCAACAAATATTACCTGCTGTGAGATACATGGAGTGGCAAATGCTTGTTTGTGTATCCATTCTGCCTCTTCCTCAAGCTCAGCATCATCTGCTTCCTTTACTGGGATGCGACGAAGCTAGAAGTTGTTTTTTTACTTTTAGTATGGATCTGACATTACATTAAGCATTAAGATATCATTCCAAAATGATAAAACCATACCTGAAATCTCTCAGGAAAGTCTGCAAGTCTGATAGCATTATCTGCATCTGTGAAATGACCTCTTTCTAATTCACTAGGTTCAAACACCTGATTCAAAATAGAAGAGTTAGGTATTAGAAAAAGTTCTAAAAATAAATTTTCCTATTTAAAAAGAATTTTAATTTACGTTTTTAAGTCTAAGACATCACTGGTTGATATTAAACAAGCTTACATCAAATATGCTTTTCTTGGCAGCTTTTTTACGTCCACCTTTCTTTTTTCTTGGCTCCCCGTCTTCCCCTTCCTCATCTTCTTCATACTGTAAAAACATTTCTTTAAACGTTAACAAAACAAACTAAAATAGTTAGGCCCATAAAATACAAATTTTTATTATTTTAAAGCAATTTATCTTTTCTAAAAGTAGGTGCTGTAAGGTGAACATGTTAAATTTACAAATAAAATCTTAAATAATAGTCCTGCTAGTCTAAAAAATTATCCTACTGTTATCTATTAAAATCTCAAAAGAACTTCATTTTCTTTAACTTTATCACAACTTTCCAGTAACAAATATAATTCTTAAATTTTAATACAGAACATTATTTTACTTCATCTTCCTCATCAAATTCTTCTTCTTCGTCATCATATTTATCAAAATCAGCAAAATCAAAGTCAACACCAAAGATTTCTTGAGCTTCTTGCAGTGCTCTACAAAATAAAATGTTTGTTTTGTTTATGGCAAATGACAACAATTTTAAAACCATTAAAAAATGTGAAACAAAATTTAATTTTTAATTGTTTCTTGGCCAAAGACAGTGCACTAACTTAGAAAGAAAAAAAAAATTAACATACGCATCACTGTGTATTTTATGTTTCTTTTTCTTTTTTCCTTTGCTTATGGAATTTCCTTCTTCATCCACAATAAAATCATCCACATCTGTAACAATTCAAAATTTAACAATACAATTTATTCTGGAACTATAATAACAAAATACGAGTTTTTTTTAAGTGAAAAAAAAGACAATTAGGATTAAAAAGATAAGATACCAGATTCTTCTTCTGAATCAAACTCCTGTATGTTTGCAGTGTCTTCTACAGCCCTAACTGACTCTGGAGGGCGTTCTCCGTTTTCTTCCTCATCTTCATCAAAAAGCTGTTCTTCAATTGCATGCTTGCCTATAAGTGGAAACAAAAAAAAAAAACCATGACCAGCAGTCCCTTTAAAAAAGGAATACTTTATTTTTTACATGCCAGGGATTTTTAATGAATTAATGTTGGATTTTGTACTTAATTAAAAATAGCTCTTGATATGCCTTAATTTACTGACCATCATCTGCTTGACCTTCCTCTTCTTTTCCACTGTCTTCATCATCAGACATCATTTTAATTCTCTTTCTTTTTCTCTATAAAATAGGAGACAGAAAATGTTTATGAAACTTGAATTTAATAACAAGGGAAATATGAAAAAATGACATTTGGATTCTTATAAAAAGTTCTGACAATTCATTCTTTGACTTTAAGAAGATTAAGAAAGTGATTTAAAAATCTGACGTTCATGTACTTTGCCACTTGAAAATAAAAGTTTGTTTGCAAAACATAAAATAAACCCATACAACAGAATGCTTTTGATATGTACCTTCCTGTTGACTTTTATTCCCAAGTTGTCATCAATAAGGTCATAGTCATCATCATCTAGCTGATCATCATCTTCATCTTCATCAGAATCATTTTTTCTTTTCTTCTCATCAGTGTCACTTCCTTCCGCAGCTTCCTCTTCTTCTTCAACATCTTCATTAATAAAGTCTTTCATTTCTTCAGCTATTGCTGCTTCATCTATAAAAGTTTTAAGGATAAAAAAATATTTCATCCTTTATTTTACCAAATTAATTTTGAGAAATTTGATAACCCACTAAGTATTCTAAGAAACTCAAAAAGGTATGGACTTGTAACACGCTCCAAAAGCCTATCAAAAACAATCATGCAGAGCACAATGCCAGAAAGGAGACGGTGAGGGAGGCAAAGATGAAATCAGGTGGAGGACATCAAGGAATGCTGCCCACTACAGAATAACTTTAAGCAAAAATTGAAGTGAATTGTGGTGACCATGTATTCCCCTCTGGTTATGGGATGATTGATAACCAAATGAAAATGTGGAAGAGTATTTCTAAAGTAACAGAGCTGGTCACTTGATAGTAGACATTGTTTGATCAGCTAAGCAAGCTGCTGTTCACAAATGCTTAGGGCTGAGTTGGATAGAATACAAAGTACCAATTGGGTTTTTACTACTTAAAATAACAGCACATATTTTTACAATAGGCCGGCCTATTTAGATTTAGATTAAAAAATGAATGAAATAAAACTTGTAAAATTTAAGAAAATAAAGCAACATTTCTTTATTCAGATGGTGAAACATTTAGTGTAGTGGTTCTTAACATGGGTTGGATTGAATCCCAAGGGTTCGGTTAGAGCCCCACGGGTTGGCTAAGGTCAAGACACACACTCGACTCATATGATTCATGATCAGACTTTGTCAATGTGGACGATAGAACTATTAAGAAGGATTTGGTTAATGTACATATGAAGCTCATGGGGTTTGGTATCTCCAAAAAGGTTATGGACCACTGATTTAGTGACTACTCCATTGTATCAAAAGTCAGCTAATTGTAAAGATTTTTTTAACAAGAGTTATTTATAAGTCAAAACAATAGATAGGTCTATTTAGGCCGGAAAAAATTATTTTATTAGGTACCTTCTTCTTCTTCTTCCTCTTCATCATCAGAAATTTGAATAGCTCTTTTCTTTTTCTCTTTCTCTTTTTTCTTTTTCTTCACTGGTCTCAACTCTCCATCTGATAGTTCCTCCTCTGACGAAATGTCTGACTCCACAGCCTCTTTCTCCACAAAATCCATGGTGAAGGCTTATTTTCTAAATAGGCCCTATAAAAATCATTCAAAATTTTAATCAACTGGAAATACAAAATAACTCAAGTTTGAACATTTTGAAAATAAATATAACATTTTTAGGCCTAAAATATTTAAAAACCAATCTGTAGGCCTAATGCCTAATGGTGATTACTTTTTAAAAATATAGTAGGCCTATAATAGCCTAATGACAAATACAAGCCTCATTATTGTATATATATAGGGTAAAGGAGGGCGTTAAGAGCCACACTTTTTAGCACCTGTACATTTTTAAAGATTTCTACTAATCTAAGAATTTTTTAGTATTGAAAATATGGCAAAATTATTCTAACATATCTTACACAATATAAAAATAATAACAAAGTCTATTAAATATACTTTAAATGGGTTTAATTGAACATTTATTGTCATACCCCCAAAATCAGCATTTGGGGTGAAAGGAGCCGGGCAATGGGGCAATAAGTATTATCTCCTTGTTTAGACTAACTCTGCAATAAAAACAATTAATTTCTAACCCCAAAATAGTTAATGCTGTGTACACACACTTTAACTGATACTAGCTATCACTAGGCCCCAATGGCCCCAGTCTACAATTGATACAATTGCAGGTGTACATAGGGCCTAAAGTCTAGTAGTTTACAGTAGGCACATTAGTATGCCTAGTGTGTAGCTAGTATACTAGTGTGTAGCTGTCCAGAGTTAACATTCTTGTATGCAAAAAGGGGTGGTACTAACTAATCTGCCTTAATGCTTTCCCCTGATAAGCCATGTGTGCTATACATTACATAACATGACATGGAGGTGAGAAATGTTGAGGGGAGAGCAGTGGTACTGGTTTCCCCTTTGTTCTCCTTGCTGGACCCTGAGGGCCATAAATTACATAAGGAGATGCTATCTCTGGTTGGCTGAGATCTAAGAACTAAGTCCATGTTACCTACAAAGAGATGAAGTTTTATGGTGGGTTAGATACAGGTGGGGTCTGGCTATCATGGAGGTGAGAAATTGTGAGGGGAGAGCAGTGGTACTGATTCCTCTTTGGTCTCCACCCTGCTAGACCATGAAGGTCATATATTACATGACATGCCACCCCAGATTGTCTGAGATCTGTAACTGTAATCCATGTTAACTACAAAGAGATGAAGTTTTATGGTTGGCCAGAAACTGGTGGGGGCTGGGTATCATGGTGGTAAGAAATTGTAAGGGGGGAGCAGTGGTATTAATGTGTCTGTTTACTTCCCTGCTGGACCATGAGGGTCATAAATTACATAACATACCACCCCAGATTGGCTGAGACCTAAGAACATTTATTCCTGTTACCTACAAAGAGATTAGAAGTTTTATGGTTGGTTAGAAACAGGTGGGGGGCTGAGTCGGCTGTATTGCCCCTTAGGGGTAATAAGTACGTGTACCATTTTAAAAATTACCTTGCTAACATCAGATGGCTGAATTTTTACTTTTTAGCAGGTTAGAATTGTATTTCTATCATTTAGACACAAGTCTGTTTAACAGTAAATACATTTTGTGTTAACTATTCCTATACCAGTGTCATATTCAGTGGTCTAATAAATAAGAAACGTGCACATAGGGTTTCAAGAGCCACATAACAGTATCTGTTATAACGTTTCTAAAGAGGCAAGCTAGTGGACAAAATTAATGTATTCATGTAGATTTAGTTATTATCTAACAAATAAAACCATTATGGTAATGATCAGTCAAGTTTTACTCTGATAATGATAAAAACTCCATAGCATGGTAAAATGGGACAAATGTCGGCCATTTTGTTTTGACACCAATAATCACTGTGCAAAAAAAATTCACCAAAATAAAACTATTCTAGCCATAGCTATAAAAATAGTGTTAAAATGTACAACAACCAATGCTCTAATACAGGAACAAAGAATGGGCTTGAAAAACTCATTTGGTTTATTACAAAGTGAAGTTTCCCAAGTTATGTCTATTTGGAAAAAAAGTTCACAAAATGGTTTTATGGAGATGAGAAATTTTAGGGAAAGAGCAGTGGGATTAAATCCTGTCTCATCCTCTCCCTATTGGACCAAGTGGGCCACAAATTACATAAAATGAATCCTCTGCTTCTCTGTTATCAAAGAACAGCAGTGGTTGTTACCTCAGAAGTAGATTAGCAGTGTTATTGGGAGTTTTGTGGGGGTGGGGTGTTGATTGGGGCTTAATGCCACACGGCTCTTAACGCCCTCCTTTACCCTATACAACCTATCAATCAAGAGTAGACATAGGCCTAAGCACTAAACAATGAACATTTAGAAGACAAAAGAAACCAGGTCAATATAGCGCAGTTTTGTGAACAGACACATGCACGCTAGAATTGGTTTGTTAATTAAACAAATATTTGATTAGGTCAAATTGATCTAGTACTACGCCTGTTTTAATTTATTTTAAAGCTCAAATTAGGACACCTGTGCCATGCACCTAGATCTACAGGTAAAATATAGTTAAATATAGAATTTTTAGGCAGTTACAAATAGTTACAGTACAATTTCAATTAACTTGAATTATTTGGCAAATTCTTATCATCTAGATCTAGTATTTTTATAGTACAGTAAAAAAAAAAGTACAGTAGATTGTTAATCTTGATAATGTAGTGTCATTGAGGAAGTCAAGATTAGATATCCTGGTTAGATTTAGCTATGGGGCTACGTCTAAGGAACGAAGTCACTAGATTGTGACTAGATTTTCTAGATCACTGAACTAGAACTACTCCAATCCAGACTTACACCAGTGGCCGAGTGTAACTGGCAGGAAAAATTTTTAGGGTATCAACTTTTTAAACGTGTTAGCAGGGGTCCATTATGTACATTTGTAATATGGATTAGATATTGTCAAAGTGAATATTTCATCTATATAAAAATGTTATGCACGTGGTAAATGCTCGAAACTATAAGTGAGACAAGAGAGAAAAATAGGGGTACCCGATCAACTAAATCTAAAAAGTACACAAAGATGGTTGTCGGACCTTCTAAAACGGAATCATACTTTTATGCCAGATTTTTTTAGATTAAGTTTAATATATGCCAGTCTGGACAATAATTGATCTAGACAGTGTAAAGTTAAAGATAAATTGGAAATAAATATTATTTGCCTTACGTTTTAAAATTAACATTTTAGTATTCTAGGAACTAAAATAATAAGAAAAAAATTAATATATGTATATACTTTACAGGTGCACAAAATGAACCGTAAATCAATATCACCGTGTTTAAAGAACAAAACCATTAAAATATGATTTTCACACAAAATTCGCGACATCGCCTTGAATTCGGCGAGCGTGGTGTTCTTATATTTTCCATCTCCATGCAGCTTATGAAAGTGTTCTCTCAGTTTTGCTGGTGATATACTAGAATTGCTCAACTTGGCATTGCAACTCATAAAGAATGCTGACTTCCATCGAGTTACTTTATACATCCGTATGGTACATATTCGTACAGCCACTTTATTCTTTTTCTCGACATAGTTAGAATGAAGGAATTAGAAAGAAATCACTCGATGTACCATCGTGGCAGTCATAAAAAAACATGAATAAAAGTCTATTCGTAACACCACGGATAAACACGATCAACGCTCAGATTTTCTTCTAGACATCTCTTCGGGGGGGGGGGGGGGGCTCTGCCCCCGAAGAAAGTATACCTCACGAAATGGAATTTATATAGAAAATATATACTTTTATCAGTGTCCGCCCCCCCCCCTTCCCGGAAAATGTTGTCCGTCCCCCCCCCCCAACCAAAATATCAAGAGCCCCCTCGAAGAAAAAGTCTGGAAGAAACACTGTCAACGCTCCCTTGTAAAGGTAGCGTTGACAAGATTCGTGGCTTGTGTCGTGACGTCAACGGTTCTACAGATATAGTTGTCTAGTTAAATATGACCTCTAGACGTTCAAATGTTGTCAAATTACATAATTATAATATTTGGTTCTTTTCAAGTATATAGACAGAATCCAGGATAAAGACAGAGTATGTCAAAAAAGACAATGGATATTGTTCAGCCCGCTAATTTAATACTGGATGTCTTTATTTTATAAAACTTTTTTTTCTCGGCGAACAGAAAACTCTTTATAACTCTTTATATATCAGAGCCTTTCTTCATTATGATCACACACTCCTCCTCTACAGAGTTTCTTCCAGGCATCTCTTCGGGGGGCAAAGCCCCCCCCCCCCCCCCCCCCCGAACGGAATGAAATTTATATAATTTATACAGAATATATATACTTTTAACAGTGTCTGCCCTCCCCCCCCCCCCCCGAAGAAAGTTTACCGCCCCCCCCCCCCCCGCCCCGAAAATTTCAAGTGTCCCCCCTCCCCCGGAGAAAAAAGTCTGTAAGAAACACTGCTCCTCTCTAGGGCAGAAGTGCTTTTTGAGATCTGCAGTCCTTATATAAATAGTTATCCGTTTTCTGAAAGAAAAGATGAAAAACAAAATACTTATTGTATTGAAAAATGTAAAATAAAATTGATGAAAAATATAAGAGAAGAAAAAATTAAGATAATCAGAAATTGTTGTGGTAAAATTGTAAAATCTAGGTCTAAACTAGTCTAACATAGATCGCACGATTATAACTATTGATAATAGGCCTATAATATCTACCAGGTCGGGTAATTAGTACCACGGGTACTTTTTACCCGCCAGCACAGGGTACGCTTTAACTGATTTGGAAAACAAACCAATTTCTGCTTCACGTTTGTAATTGGCGAACTTTCCAAACAAAAAGTATATATTAATGAAGTAGAATGACTTCGTCAGAACCTTGGTGCGTTTAAAGCAATACACGCGAGTCCTCTACACTCTACAGCATAGCACAGTTAGAATCTAACATTATTACATCAAAACAGTGACAAAACACAAAATTGGACTTACTGCTTCTCTTTTACGATCGATTCCACCATTTTTGTCAGAACATAGATTTTTTTATTATCCAGAAAAATTGTAACGCATTACTCCGAATTTCTATCGGTCTGGTTAATTAAGCGAAATAAGCTAAATCATGGCACGATTGGACACCGGTATGGATTATTATAAATCACCAAGCTTTTTTGTCGATTTTGACCTAACCCCCTTCCCCCCCCCCCCCCCCCCCCCATCAAACAGCGCCACAAAAAGCCAGACTTACCCCCTTAAAATGGCGTCACACATCATCAAACAACCCACAACAAAATTGCAGTTAAAGTTTTTTTAAACATGTATTTCTTTCTAAAATATTGACTGAGCTGGGTTATCATATAGTTTAAATCAATTTCAATAACTATTGACTAATAACAGTTTTCAAAAACTCGAAATAACGGCTAGAATTCAGTTTCTAACACTACTTTTTAAAAACAAAAGTTGGACGTTAAATACTATCTTACCCCCCCCCCCCCCGCCCCTTATAACACATCGTCACAATATTCCCGACCCCTACGAGTAGTGTGACGTCATTTATGGACGACCTCCACGTACCCTAATATATATATATATATATATATATATATATATATATATATATATATATATTTAGGCATATATATATATATATATATATATATATATATATAGGCATATATATATATATATATATATATATATATATATATATATATATATATATATATATATATAGGGTGTGTGTGTGTTGCTTTTTTAATAAGTCAAAGCTTGTCGTTGTCACTTTAAACTTTAAACAAAACTTGGTACATTTTAAAAGTTATCACACCTTTGGTTCACGCGGTATGCGACCCGCGGGCCTGAAATTTGACAGTCCCCGAATTAATTTCCTTTTTTTAAAGGAGAGCTTCAAATATAAGGAAGTTATGAGTTACTTTTTCATTTTGTGTAGATCTTACTTCACCACAGAGGGGGAAAATAATTTTTATTAGCAAAACAAATTCATAGTAAATATAGATTTATATCCAGGTCTATTTAACGTTAACATTAGGGATACAATGAAGTATAAAATTGTTGTAGATCTAGTTAAAGGGCTCTTTAAATGCCATTTTGTGTTGCTGAGTTTTGACTATTGACATTTGATTTTTTCTTGTCTTCCAACTTCTGTCGTCTGACGTCAACCTTACTGACTGTGGGCTGTGATCGTGTTTCCACCCTCGCAGTCCCATCAGATATAAAAAAAAAAGGCCATAGCAGTATCAACAGTGAGTTTATGACTTCACTTAGCTCTAATTATTCATTTGTCAACGACACTGTATTATTGTAGATATGGGAAACAATAGCAGTGCCCCTACTACTACAAGCAACCATGGTAACAAACTCAGAAAGTCTCAATCAGTTCCAGACACACAGGTTAGTTTTTATTTATAGTCATACACTACATTTTAATTATTGTTTTTACTTGTTAAAAGTAAAAGTAAAACTAGTTATAACTCTTTAAAGTTTTAACATTTCAAAAAATCTCTGAAATTGTTATAAGTTGTAAGTTTGTTTAATACTTATAAATTTGAATTACTCAAGCAAGAGCTTTAGAAAAGCATTAAGTAAGCTTTATACTTTATTACGTATTTCTACAGTTGATTTATTTTGTAATTTTATTAAAATCACAGAAACTATCCCCTGATGCTCAAGTTTTATTTAACAAAGAAAAATCACTAAGTCAGCAGAAGCTGAGCGGCAAGCCTGGTAAATTTGGTGGTAAGAAACAAAAGCATGCAGCTGAAGATCTACCACATATTCCACCTGCCGAAGCACTGTTTCTACCAGAATTTCCTCTACGAGGAGATTTAGATGAACTAGAATTTGAAGTAAGTTCTCTTTCTAGTTTTCAGTAGTTCTCCAGATTACAATAATATTAGATGTTTAAACTAAAAATGAAAAATAAAAATAATTATTGTAGATCTTTTAACTTCTGCTTTGTTAATTATATGTAAAAGCTCTTTGGATTTCATAATACATTATGCATTATGATTGAAAATTTCTTATCTGAACCTTTAATTAGGTGATTGATGTAATAGCAAAAGGTGCATTTGGAAATGTTATCAAAGTTCAACGAGAAGATCAGAAAAGATTCTATGCTATGAAAGTCTTAGACAAGGGACAAATTATTAATGAAGGAGCAATTAGACAGTGTAAAGATGAAGCAGCCATTCAGGTACAATTTTATTCTATTGTACTTTTATTTTCCTTTAAGGGTGAAACCCATCTAAAAATGTATTTTGTTTATGTGCATTCTGTTTTCTAATGTCACTTACTTAAGTTTTGTATTCTGTTTTTTTCACCCAGTCATTAGTTGGTGACCATACTTTTATTGTAAAGGCACATGAATACTGGCAGTCAAGAACATCTTTATATATCGGTCAGTTGTTTAACTTTTGTATATTGTTAACTGTTTACTTAATATTTGATAAGGTATATAGGCATTGTGAAAATAATGTGCTCTCAAGCATACGTTTAGTGCTATTTAAGTAGGCCTCTTTAAAAAAAATCATTTTTTACAACAGTTTTGGACTATGTTCCACATGGTGATATGTTTACATTGTGGACTTTTCATGGAGCGTTTCCTGAAGCATTGGTTCAACTTTACATAGCAGAGATATGTTTGGTTATAGGTGAGGCACTGTTTTCAGCTCTCATGATCTTAATTCTGTTTATCAAATTTGATCACTGTACATTTTATCTAATTTTTTCTTGCCCTGTTTTTAGATTATCTCCACAACTCAAGTGTCATCTATCGTGATATTAAGGTATTTCATTCATTTGTTTTTTCCAATTATTTTTTAGTTAGTGTTTTAGTTACCCATAATTCTGGTTTTCATAAAGTCATAAAGATTTAATTTTGTTTAAAGGGAAAAAAAAATTTGTAATTACTAATTTATATATAATTTACAAACTGAAAGGTATACAAAGGTATACAAAACTCTAGGGTAAATATAGGTTATGTGCTAATATACACTAATATACACAAGTGATTGTATAAAATTATTCAATCTTCAGATGGAGAACATACTGTTTGATCCTAAAGGGCACATACAAGTGACAGATTTTGGGCTAGCTAAGTTTTTGCAAGGGGGTGACCAAACCAGGACAGTGTGTGGTACACTGCAGTATATGGGTAAGTCTGGGATATTGGGGTAAGATCAGGTGTTTACGATAGTTGGAGATCTTATGGATATATGGGTTCATGATATTAAAAGTAGTGTGAATGGTTATGATTCATTTATGTCAGTTGGAGATGTGGATATATGAGTTCGTGATGTTTAAAGTAGTGTGAATGGTTATGATTCATTTATGTCAGTTGGAGATGTGGATATATGAGTTCGTGATGTTTAAAGTAGTGTGAATGGTTATGATTCATTTATGTCAGTGGGAGATGTGGATATATGAGTTCGTGATGTTTAAAGTAGTGTGAATGGTTATGATTCATTTATGTCAGTTGGAGATGTGGATATATGAGTTCGTGATGTTTAAAGTAGTGTGAATGGTTATGATTCATTTATGTCAGTTGGAGATGTGGATATATGAGTTCGTGATGTTTAAAGTAGTGTGAATGGTTATGATTCATTTATGTCAGTTGGAAACGTTATGTTTAATGAGTTGATGATGTTAAAAGTAATGTGAATGGTTATGATTCATTTATGTCAGTTGGAGATGTGGATATATGAGTTTGTGATATTTAAAGTAGTGTGAATGGTTATGATTCATTCATGTCAGTTGGAAATGTTATGGATATATGATTTCATGATGTTAAAAGTAGTGTGAATGGTTATGATTCATTTATGTCAGTTGGAGATGTTATGGGTATATGAGTTCATGATATTCAAAGTAGTGTGAATGGTTATGATTCATTTATGTCATTTGGAAACGTGGGTTAATTAGTTGATGATATTAAAAGTAGTGTGAGCAGTTATGATAAAAATAAGTTTAGGTCAGTTGGAGATGTTATGTGTATATGAGTTCATGAGAGCATTTTAAGAATACAGTTTTATTAAGCATTAAATGATTTCATGATGTTAAAAGTAGTGTGAATGGTTATGATTCATTTATGTCAGTTGGAGATGTTATGGGTATATGAGTTCATGATATTCAAAGTAGTGTGAATGGTTATGATTCATTTATGTCATTTGGAAACGTGGGTTAATTAGTTGATGATATTAAAAGTAGTGTGAGCAGTTATGATAAAAATAAGTTTAGGTCAGTTGGAGATGTTATGTGTATATGAGTTCATGAGAGCATTTTAAGAATACAGTTTTATTAAGCATTAAAACTATTTTCAGCTCCAGAAGTTTTGTCAGTGTACCCTTATGGCCACGCGGCTGATTGGTGGTCTGTTGGCATTCTCATGTATGCTATGTTAGCTGGAAAGGTCAGTTACTTCAATTTTTTATTAATTAAAAATTTAAAAATTTAAAATATTCCTTTCATTTCCAATGTTCACTGTTGTCAGTAGTTTATTTTTGCCACTGATTTAAACTTTTCTTTAAAACCACACTGTAGTATCCAGTGGATGGTGCTGATACCCACACTAAAATGGCCCAGAAAGTTTTTGAATGTGAATATCTTCTTCCTAGTCATATAAGTGATTTAGCTCAAGATGTCATTAATAGGGTAAGTTGTATCTATTTTACAACTTTAATCTGTCTGCACTAACAGAGTGTAAAAGTACCCTTTTGAACCTAACGGTTCATGGGGCAAGTGAAGTAGAGTTCTGTTGTTTTTGTGACCTAAGCTTATGAAGGGATAGCATCATCAGCACTTTGCCCAGCTGCCTTTACTTTCCCTAAAGTGAGTCAGGCACCCATCACAGCTAGGTGGACTTATAGACATATTACTGACTCAAGCCTGAATCCAAACTCGAGACTTTTGAGTTGGCAGTCATATACTCTACCTTCAAACCATGCCGACCCTACTGAAAAAGTGGAGGCATTAATAGTACTGACCATACGTATATTTATGTAATGTGCAGAAAGAAATCCCCCTTGCTTCCTGTCATAAAAAGTACATTGTAGACCCACAGTATTGTTTTTTTCTCTCAGTTTTTAACCAAAAGTCCACACAAGCGTCTCAGTGACATTTATGTTATTCAAGATCTTTATTTCTTCCAAGATATTGTGTTTTCTGACCTTCTTGATCGCAAGGTAATTTACCATTTACGCTTCAAATAGAGAGTATTTCCTTATATAATTGTAGCCACAATCAGTATTCATTCTTGTACTCTAGACTATCCATATATATTTTATCTATCTTGTTGACTGCTATGCAGTTGATGCAGCAATAGTTTTTATGTGATAAATTTTTTAATCTATAGTTGAACCCTGTGGATGTTGTACCTGAAGATTTTTTCCCTATGACTGGAGAGAGCTGGGCTCCACAAGTATTGACCCCAGAAGAGCAGCAACACTTTGATCAGGTAAACATTGTATTTTATGAAAGGTTTTTTATAATTTAACCCTTTCACTAGCAAAGTTGAAACTTGTAATCAATAATGATAGACAGCCACAGCTGATACTTTTTTTGGAATAGTTTCATTTCTGATAGCTCTTCATGGATTTAATTAGTTGGTTTAATGGTTTTATAATGAGAGCAATAGTGTTATTTTTTAATGAATTTTCTTAGTTAATTTAGGGTCAGATGTTCAAAATTTTAAAAGTATTACAATTTTGCACAGTATCCTGAAAACTTTATCTTTGTGTACTTTGATTTTCTATGTGGTTAATGATGAACCATATACTTTGATTTTCTATGTGGTTAATAATGAACCATATAAGTGTGAAAACAACTTTAATGTCACTTTCCCATTTTAGTTTTTTTATTTTCTTTTTTAATCAGGAAAAATATTTAGTTATTTAAAAATATATTTTATTACCCTACCCTCTTTTAAAAAAAGTGGTGTTTTGCTATGGGTGGTCGATAGTTTAGGGGACAAAAGGTTAAGATGATTGTTTATGTTTTGATAAGAGCATTAAATTTCAATACTACTTCTGTGACAAATCGGCAGGATAAAGTGTTGACCACACTATCCCTTCATATGTCGAGGTCACAGAAACAGGTGAACTCTTCTTCACCTGCCCTGTGGGCCCCCAGGTCAAAAAGGGAACTTTACTTACTTTACCCTGATAAATGCTACATGTTTTTGATTTTGATGGTACGTGTAACCATTCTTTATTTCAACAGTTTGATGATAGTAATGAGACCATCACGGATGAACAAGACCACCATCCCTACCATCAGCCCTACCAAAAGCCTGCATCTTACACCAAACAACCTCTCATTCCCCGGGGTGAGACTGCACCAGACCAGCAAGAAAACTCCCAGACGCTGCCATACAACCAGCCAAACTCTTCTCACTATTCTAATCAACAGCCGCAACAGTTTGGCCATCAGCAGTCCAGGGAGTCAGTATATAATGATCAGCAGAGGGGTTCCCGCAGTTTTGACTCGGAGCAGTACAGTGTGTCTGACAGGCAGAGTGTTAACTCCAGCTTTGATTACAGACAGAATATTGCTCTGGCCAGTGCTGGTAATTTTACTCGACAGAACGGTAGCATGGTCGGTTCCATGCATCAGAGCAGCGGCTTGGTCAGATCTGGTAGTTTTACACAGCAGGGAAGTGGTATGGGATCTTCTGGTAATTTTACACAAGGCAGTGGTATGGGATCTTCTGGTAATTTTACACAAGGCAGTGGTATGGGATCTTCTGGTAACTTTACACAGCAGGGAAATGGTATGGGATCTTCTGGTAGCTTTACACAGCAGGGAAATGGTATGGGATCTTCTGGTAGCTTTACACAGCAGGGAAATGGTATGGGATCTTCTGGTAGCTTTACACAGCAGAATAGTGGTTTAGAATCCTCTAGCTTTACACAGCAGGGAAGTGGTATGGGATCTTCTAGTAGCTTTACACAGCAGGGAAATGGTATGGCGTCATCTGGTAATTTTACACAAGGCAGTGGTATGGGATCTTCTAGTAGCTTTACACAGCAGGGAAGTGGTATGGGATCTTCTGGTAGCTTTACACAGCAGGGAAATGGTATGGCGTCATCTGGTAATTTTACACAAGGCAGTGGTATGGGATCTTCTAGTAGCTTTACACAGCAGGGCAGTGGTATGGCGTCCTCTAGTAGCTTTACACAACAGGGCAGTGGTATGGGATCCTCTGGTAGTTTTACACAGCAGGGCAGTGGTATGGGATCCTCTAGTAGCTTCACACAGCAGGGCAGTGGTATGGCATCTTCTGGTAGCTTTACACAGCAGAATAATGTAGATACACAGCGCAGACAAAGTACCGACCATAGCCATGCAACAAGAAGTAGCACGTACATGTATGGTGAGACAATTCCTGAGAGAAGAGCCAGCACCACAGACAGACGGGTAAGCATTCACAACTCTAGTGGAGGCAGTGGTAGTGGGCCCAATGCTGTCTCAGCCCCTACTAATAATTTAACCATGCAGGCAGTCAATGGATACGGTGGCCCTTATGGTTCAGTGAATGCAACTAACACCAACTACCAGAGGGTTGAGGCCCCACCCCCTGTCAGACTTAGAGCACAAAGTAATCCTGTGGCTGTTTACAACAGGCAGACATCTGCTCAGCCACCTGCTAGTACCATGGGAGGCAACTACAGCACTGGTTCTAGGGGGGTCAGCCTAGAATACAAAACTGTTGATGCGCCACCGGTCATCACGCTTCCTCCACAAACAGCTTACAACCATAGTGCATACAATCAACATCCAGCTATGGTCAACTCTGCAAGTAGTTCTAGTCTTGCTGACAACAACTATAGACCATTAGAAGAAGCAAGACTTAACCTCCCAAGCCAGGTTGGCAAGTCTCAGGAAAGGCCACCTGTGCCAATGAAACCACCTGTAGCACAAAAACCCACGGTACCTGTCAAGCCTTCATTTAAACCCCAGACATCCATACACCAGCAGCCCACAGCCTACGCACGACAACTTCCTGTAGCACCGGGGCGGCAACAACCTCCCATAGCACCAGTAAAACCCCAGCAGCCTGTAGCGCCAGTAAAGCCCCAGCCAGCAGCCGCCATTAGACCACAACCAGCGCCAAGGAAATCAATCAGCAAGCAAAACTCTGTTCCCTACGTCTCGCAAACATCCACCAGCAACCAACCTCTGACAAACAAATCTATGTATAGCCAAGGCCTCCAAAACAACAATACAAATTTCTATCCGACAAACTACAGCCAGGATCTGTCAGCGGCTGTCAGTTTATTGAATGATAACCTAAGCAAACGTTCTTCCTATGATCAAAGAGCAGTGACACAACCTGCAGATAGGTCTTTTGGGTATAAAGACCAGAGCCAATCTAACCTGGGCAATAGTGGTTTGTACCAAGACCATAGTCAATCTAATTTAAGCAGCAGTATTGGATACCAAGACAACAGCCCATCAAACCTGGACAGTAATCACATAAACTCCAGCTATTTAACCACTGAATCACAAATGATGAGCCCAAACGCAGTCACAGACAACTTTAAATGGAACCTTCCTGCTGATGCCACACCTTCTTTTGTATAAGGACACATGGGTTCTCACTCCAGTATTGAAGCCTCCTGTCGTAGTATTTTATTCATTGTTACTGGCTTAGGTTAACATATGGTGCTGGTGTATAGCATGGCATGTTATGTGTAATGGTGTGTTGAAAACTGTCTGGCAATAAGGGAAATATGCAATAAACTCTTTTGAGTGGGCATTCACTCATTATTTGCTTCAATCAAATATTTATATCACCCAGTTTGTTGTAACTATAAATTTTATTACTCCAAGAAAACTGCTTTGATGGTCCCCTTGTTATGTATATAAATTTATTTATCTTTATACCTCTAGGCTTACTTGCATGTTTGTTTATACATTGTAAATTGAAGAAGTTAATGGCACTGGTTGACTTAAATGTTCAACTTGTTGTGGATCAATTGTGCTTTCCTTCTTAACTAGCTATGTTATTTAAAGCAATATCAAATTGTTTTTTTTTTGGTACTTGTAAATTTGGTAGCAGGTTGTATCAAAGTTTTTTTTGCTAGAATTGCTACCCTAGCCCAGCCATGACCCTAATCCTGAATATTTCCCTGACCCTAAGCCCATTCTGACACTTAAGAATACCTGTCTTTTCAATTACCTTTTAATCTCATCTTCGGCCTTGTAGCTGTAAAGAAAATACAATACTCAAAATATAATTTGTTATAAAACTGTAAAAATATGTTTTTTGCGGCACAAATTTTTAATGCTTTTTTTTCTTATTTCTTCAAGATGAAATAAACAAAAGTGTGTCCATCAATTACTATAAGCAAGGCTAAACAACTGCAGACTAATTATTTCTTAGTTTTTTTAAAGATTTACATTATTTTTCTAGATTTATGAATAAGATATAATTGCAAATTGTTAGTCATTGTACATTTTCCTAAGTAACTTTTTTATGTTGTGAACAAACTTAAGAAAAACTTAGTAAAAATAAAGTACAGCATATTATTTCTATCATGCCAGAGGGGGGGGGGGGGGTAAATTTAAAAAAAAAACATTATTTTGAATTAGTTTCTGATTTAGGTGTTAGTGCCTTAATAATTGGAAAATTTGATCTACACATTCAAATACTAACTCAGAGCAACAAAATTGTGATTGTGAAATGACCGTTGAAAAGTTGGTTAATATATTCAACCCTTAAAACTATTCTAGATCATATTTTAAATAATAATATTGATTATTTAAATCTAGGTGTTGGTCATATGGTATAATTCAATGCACATTATTTTAAACTTAGAATTAATTATAACAGTGTGATCAAAAACTCAGGGTATATAATATATTGTAAGAGGGTTTATTGAATTAAATTCTTTGTTATGTAAGCTTAGACAGCCAACAAATATTTTACAATTGTTGTATAACTCACTCTAACATGTGCCTGTAACTGAATCAGGGATTTTGTATTAAAATTAGTGTAGGAGAAAACAAGTTTTAAAACAGTGCTAATGATTCTTGTGGTAATCTTTATTGTTGTCCATAAGCTTAAACAAGACTACATAAATTTCATATATAGTGTTTTTTTTTTTTCTAAGATCAATTCATAGTTACAGTTAGGTAACTTTGTTTTTTTTACTAATTGTGTACTATACTGTACATGCATTTAATTGAAATAGTTTTTGTCTCATGGCATGAGAGGACAGTTTGATGAAGACAGTAAAGGAGAATTTTATAATTTGTTTATAATTTTTTGCATACACAATTTGTTATACTACTTTACAAATGATTGTATGAACCTTAATGCAGCATCTGTTGTCATATTTTAGTTAGATATGCCAAAAATTTCACATGTAAATATCAATTGAATGCAGATATTTTTATGAAACTTGTAAATTTTTACTTTTTAAAAATTGATATCTTTTGTTATATATAATTTTTAAAAAAATAATACAAGTTATTTATATTCAACATGTCATTACTGCTCCATGTTATTGAGTGTCACCGGACTAAAAGACTAAATTTTGGCTAATTTCACCCAACTGAAAGCATTGTTAAATTTGTAGCTGTGAGTTTATTTGTTGAATAGGTAGATGTTTAATAAGTATTTATCCCTTGTGATGATTTGGTTGTTAATTAAAGTAAGTTGAAAATCATTCCATATTCATTTTCTTAATAAAATGAATACATTTTTACAGTTAAATATTTTAGTGATATTTTTATAAAAGTATTCTGAGTGTTTTAATTCTTCATAACTTATTTTACTTACTTGTTGGCTTACTTTGTATATGTCACAATATACATATACACTGAATTTTATTTTCTGTTATAAAGGTAGAGCCATAACCAAATGGCCATGGTTATAAATTATGCATGGGTTAAGGACTCTAATATGCTACTGGTCCATACAGGATTATATATCCAAGACTTATAACTTTACAGTTTTCTTCCTGGTGATTTTGTGCTGTTGCTTGTGTTTTATATATTTTAATAAGGATTTTAAAATGTTGAAATAACAGCTTGTACAATATGTTAAAATTTACCATAACCCCTTGAACCCTATAAGTATACACATGGTATATGTTATAAATAAAACTACCGTCTGGGTTACTGGGATTTATTTTTTAAAAATTTCCGCAATTAAAAACGTAATGTAACGAATGTTAATCACTGGGGGCAGTAGTTACAATGAGGCTATGAAGTTATGACATTATATTTGTTGATGATAAGGAGTTTGGAGGATGTATTTGTTGATAAATTCCTTTTGATTCTTTTTTATTATTATTGTCATCTGGCATTAAGATAATAGTTACAGATTTTTACTTATCAATCTACTTCTTAGATGAACTAACCTACAGAATACAGCATTTTATTAAACCTTTAACCTGTGTGATCAGATGTTGTAATGGCCACACATAAAATTTGAAAGTGTAAATATGTAAAAAAAAATATAAATAAATAGCCTCATGTTTTGGAATAGTTTAACATGGTTTATGATTTTTGGAATAATTACTACATGATTTCTTCCAACCCTATATTTAGATTTTCTTTATAGATATGAGAGTTTGTGGCATATGTGCTTAATTTGTAAAGATTTTTTAAAAAGTATGTATAAAGATGATGCTGTATTAAAACTATTAACCAGGATAGATTTTAACATAGCTAACAGAATCCTGTTTTTTAATTTACTAAATTATTCTGTAATATTCACCCTTTCTATTGAGTCACTACATTTACTTGGTGCATAGACCTACTTTAACATCAGCTTTTAAGAGATGGAGTAAAAAAGAGAAAGCATCATCTTTGTAGGGTTATTTTGAATGCTTATTTTAAAAATTTGAAAGGTTAACATTTTTATACTCAGTTGACTAATATATTTATTTGGTGATTTGAGATCTGAGTGTGTATTGTTTATAATTTATATAAATAAATATTTATATTTACATATTTTAATCAACAAACACTATTAAAGGTTTGATTGAATTAAAGTCTTGGAATTTTTTATCTTATTTTTTTTTTACTTTTAAAAAAAAAAGTCACTGGCAACATAATTGACACAATATACTGTCTGATATTGGGGAACAGGGCATTACCCCCCTGTCATGGCTTAAGATTCAGCTAGGGTTTGAGTCTGGGCTAGGGTTAGGCTTAAATCAATGTCTAGAGTTGGGTTTGGCTTAATTTTAGGGTGAGGTGAATTCTTAGGTTTTTTGTCTTTGCCTTAATGTTAGGATTAAGGTACAGAGTTGGAGTTAGAATCAGGATTCTATCTTGGTGGGGGGGGGGGGGGGGTAATGTCCTGTAGCCCTGATATTGCACAATTGAAAATATGCATTTGAATGTGTCATGTTCTTGATATCAGATAACAAAGAAAAAGACACTAAACATGTTAACTTAATTATTTTTAAGATTGACTCAGAACACAATAGCAGGTCCATTAAATTTGTCTTTATTTACTCAGGACGGTATGACCAATCATTCAATAGTTAGCAATTATTAAAAACATGGATAAAAAATCAAAACATTTTATCAAATTTTGTTGAGAAAAATTTTTTTTTTAAAAACTATAGGGCAAAAATGTTATTTTAAAATACTGTTTTAATAAAAGTTATATCAGAATTTTATTTACAAGATGCATACAGATCTACTATTATTTTAGTTAAAAAGAAATGACTAAAAATCATGTTTAGATGCATACATTTTCAGGATTGTCTATAAAACAAAAATTTTGCCATTGAAAATACTTATATAAAAAATATTAAACAGATATGATTATGCAGACATTGGAATGTTGGAGCTAGAGTTGTATTTGGAATGTTTAAATTCCTAAACAGTCTTCTTCTTAAAAATTCTAATTGTAGGCTACGTAAAAACTGAATCAGTATATTAGCTGTTAAACAAAAAGGGCAGCAAGGTTACATTTTTTCAAAAACTTTCTTAAAAATACTAAAAACAAAATGCTTGGAATGTAAATGAAATAACAAAATGTACTATTTTAAAATCAAATAATTTTAAAACTTCTTGGTTTGAAATTTTTTTAAAAATAAAAACCTGTTTGCAAAAAGCTGAACTGGGAAAAGTAAGTGTATAATACAAAGTGAACACATAAAAAATATATAATACATGTTGAACACAAAGGTATCTTGAGTCAAAAAATAAAACAATAAAAGGCACTTTTATAATACAACTTTCTGTTGTGATATGTACATTATAAAATTTCTGCTAATTAATACACAGCTGGGTGCAAAATGCAATCCAATTATCTGTTTGTCCATTCCTAATGTATATAAAAAGATGAATGAACACATGAATGCATAGTAATAAACTATATTGAAGTGAATACATTAGTTATAATACTAATAAAATAACAAATTATAATGTAATTTAAACAATAAAGGTATTCTAAAAGCTCAACAATTTCACATTTTGGAATTGATTTTCACTAACACAACTGTGGTCTTGCCTGTCTATAAACTGCATCACTTTGTTTCAAAATTTAAATTATAAAGCAATTTTTTTAAATTATAAATTTAAGACTTATTCTTAATTGAAACTGAGTAGTGGAAGCTTTAATATTTGCAATGTCAAATAAATCTTCAGGATAAAGTAACTGTATCTCAATTACATAAAAATAAAACTTTGTTTTAATGGCACATTATCAATTGAACACAAAAAAAAATCTGTTACATCTAGTTTATCAACAAGAGAATGAACATAAAATTTTTAGAAAAGTATAAATAATTTTTGTAATAAACAGCCACAAGGCAAAGTGAACAAAAATTATTGTTGGATTTGTACAAATAAATAAAATATGAACATAATTTGTACGGAAAAATAAATTCTGTTTTGTTATAGTTTAACTAAAAGTAATAAATATATATACAGTATTCAACAATATTTTTTAAACTAGAAAAGATTAGGCTATCTTTTCAGTTCTATTAATCAGTTTAATAAGCAATTTAAAAAAAAAGTATTTTAAACATTTCTGAACTTTGTACATAATATATTAAATTATTTTTATACTTTAAATTAAATCCTAGCCAAAATATTTTTTTAAAATATTTGACTGAACTTGAAGCAATATAGCACACTAGTTAACTATGCATCTAGACTAATATTATAAAACAACAGCCAATCACTGGATTTCAATGTTCAAAAAAGTTGCAAAGTATATCACGAATCATCAGCCAAGACTTCCAAATATCCCTGCCAAGACAAATTTTTTAAATTACTACACAATTAACATGATTCTTAATAAAAAGGTGAAGCTCACAAATCAACTATACTAATCTTATAATATTACTGTTAGTAAACTGACCCCATTTGAAACTCTAACAAGCTGCCTTTCCAAAATTAAAACAAGTGTAGTGAAGTCAGGTCGGTCATCAGGAAAATGATTCCAACATCTCTTCATTGTATCATATCTAAATGCAACCAGAAAAATAAGTGTTCCCTTTAATTATTCATGTACAATGATTTTGCAATATAAAAATAACTTTTAAGAGAGCATAAAAAATTCACATTCTTTTAAAACATGAAGATAATATTTTTTATAACTTTAAGTATTTGAATGAAATATCTAAAATTGCAATTCTATAAAATAAAGCCCCTTAATATTCAGTTAAAGTGACAAGTCTTTTTTTTTTAAGTTTTAATTAAAGAATTGACTAAAGCACTTTAAAACTTTAAAGTGGAGCTTACAAAGAATCAGGAGCCAAGGGTGGTTTTTCCATCCTATATCCTTTAATGAGTTTGTTGTACAGGTCTTGGTGTGGAATAGTTGGATATGGCATCCCACCAAGAGAAAATATTTCCCACATCACAATACCGAAGGACCATCTGTGATTATCAAAATTAAGTTTTAGAAATAATTATACTTGGTACATTCAGAAAAAGAAGCACATCAGTAGGGCTAGTAAGTAGGTCACCAACCAGTTCAAAGGCTCAGTAAAACTTGCATGACCCATAGAACTGGTGGATGACCTACTTACCAGCCCTATTCAACCAACTAGTTCTACCCCACATTCTTAACATAACTAATCAAAGCTATGACTGAGATTCAATGGAGTACTTACACATCACTTTTTACAGTGTATTTAAAGTCAATCAAAGCCTCAGGGGGCATCCACTTTACTGGGAACTGACCCTGTTGAAAGCAAAGTTCATATAGTTATACACTGAAAATCATACCCAGTTCAAAATTAAATTTATTTTTCCATGATTTATAGACATGCATTTAGTTGATAATTTATTTTTTTAATTGAAAAGTACAATTTTGAATTACCCCTGAAGTTTTCCTGTAATAGTCTCCATTACGAGCCAGACCAAAGTCAGCTATTTTTAGAACATTATCCTCCGTCACCAAAACATTTCTCGCTGCCAGGTCTCTGTGAATGCACTATTAAAAAACAACAAAATCAAGAAATGTTCCTGAATTTAAAATATTTAAATAATTTCTTTTCTTAAATTATGATTATTTAAGTACAAAACAGAAAAAATACTACATTTATTTTAAGGTCAGCATATTGTATCTAAAATTAAGAGATTTATTTGTCATTGGAGTAAAAGCAAACTATGACAAATATTACTTGCAAGAAAATATCTTAGACATTTGAGTTATGTGTCAAAATGACATAACTAATAAGTTATTTAAAAAAACACTAACCTTGTTTGAAGACAAGAATTCCATTCCTCTAGCAATCTGATGGCTGAATGATAAAAGTATTTTCTGAGAGAGCAAATTTTTAGCATTTTCTGCTTCCTCTATGTCTACTCCTTGCATGTAAACATCACCATCCTCTTTCCATCCAGATATGCTCCATGGTCGTGTTCGAAATGATAGCAAGTAGTCTCTGAGGTTTCCCTTCTTGCAATATTCAACAATCATCAGCAAAGGACCTGTAAATCACAGAATGACAACATTAACACCAATGTCTAACAATAGACTGTATATTAACTGAGTAGCATTATCTAGTGGTTACTTCCATCCACTTAAGTAATTCTAATCCCAGGCTAATAAATTCATATAACTAACAAAATTCTCAGGTTGAAACTTGCTTACTAAGTTTGAAATACAGATACATTTTACATCTTGACTATGATTAAATTTTTTAAAAACTTGGAACACATTTTAATCTCTACTACACATACTGACACCAGACACACACTTATCAAATGAAACTCTCCACTGAAAAGTTTAACATTCCTCAACCTACCATTTTGTGTACAGCAGCCCAGGAAGTTGACAATGTTGATATGATAACCCATCTTTTTAACAGTTTTCATCACATCCACTTCCTTGATGAACTCACAATGTTCTTGATATGTTGCATCATCTAAACATAAAAAAAAAAAAAAAAAAATTTTATATGAATTAATGCCATCAATAATACATGAATAAATGTCTAGAAAGATTTACAATTAAACCTGTTCTACAAACAGTACTCCCATAAAATAACTCAGCAGAAAAAATCAAAATGCCACCTCTCCCCCACCTTCTGGGGGTCTACCACCCCTAACTCAGCCATGACCCCTATCATGTTCCTCTGAAACTTTAACCAATCCCACCTAATAATACCATAGATCTGATCCTTTGGTATGCCTCTAGTAATAGTATTTTCTTAAAACAGGTAATCTTGGAAACATGTTTTAAATACTCAACACAACACAAAACAGCACAATCTGATTTAATATGAATAGCACTCTATTTTAAAAAAGCCATCATGAAAGTACAAATAGCTGCTCTCTACCTACCATCTGACTAACTGAAACACATTATTCAGGACATCAATACAAATCCTACGTTTATATATAACATCTATATCCATTTACAACAAATGTGACGTACCTTTCAATGTTTTTACTGCCACAATACTTGACTTAGAGTTTTCTCCAATTCCAAATGCTGATGCTTTCTTGACCACACCAAATGCACCTTGACCAATTATTTCTTGAATGTCCAATCTACAAAGAAAAACATTTCAACCATTTTAAAAAAATTGTTGTCATAACTAAGTATCTTGAAAATGACATTTAACTAAATTATTTCCCATTAACAAATTTACTAATGTGTTACTACATAAAAGTAGAAATACTATACCTCTCTCTAGGAAACTCTAATGCATTATCTATAGGCATGATAGGTCTTGATGATGAGGTTGGGATGGGTCCACAGCTGACTGACAACAGGGGAGAAGTTGGGGCTTCCTATATAAACAATTAAAATTAAATTAAAATGGAATACATTACACAAACAGACAAATAAATTTAGATTAGTCTTACAAGAAATAATCTTAACTAAATCTGGAAAAGAAAACACCTCTACTAGTGTGGATTAAATATGTAAATGTAAACCATAAAAATTAAAGTTTATTTGATGAGTGATTTCTAGCAGTTGTTGGTAAAATGTTAAACTATGGCTTACATTTTTATGATACAGTTGAAGACGCTCCATTTTCAGTTTTTTTATTTTGTAGCAGTAAATACTGACGCTGACAGCCACGGCAACAAGCAAAACAGCAACCCCACAGCAAATGCCAATGATGAGTATGAACTGGTCCAAGTTTTGTGTTGGCTTGCTCTCCAATACAGGACTAGACACTGGCTTTTCATCTTGTACAACACTGAGGTAAGCTGCCTGATGGTTCTCTCCCAGGTTATTTCTTAGTAAACACACATACCAGCCTTCATCGTTTTCTTGCACATTCTCCAATACAAGCGGATGGTGAGTTGCATTCCATTCCTATTCGGTTATAAAGGATTTGTTTTAAAATTTACTAGTAAAATAAGTTCGACCATTATGTAATCTTTTCAGAAACCAATGTGGTTTATAAACTATCAAATGGAGCTTACTATTAATTTGGTGATGTGTGGGTCATCAGAATGAAGCGGGCCTTCACCCCAACTTCCGTTGATGAAATTCAGTTTTAACCACGTCATCTCTACATTGGCTGTCTGGGTCACACAGTTAAACGTTGCAGTGGCTCCCAGCTTGGCTGTTTGATTACGTAAAGGTTCAACTATTGGGATGCTTGTGGATGCAGCTGAAATGATAAACAACCTTTTTTATTCGTCTACACTTTTGAAAAAAATATATTGAAATTTAATCATAAATCATAAAAATCTTTAAACAGTAATGCAATGATCCATACAGTAAATACAAAATTAAAGCTTCCTTAATTCTTCAGTTAAGAAGTTTAAAATATTACCATAAACATCAAGAAAAAACTGCCATTGCATCTCCATGTTGAGCTCTTTTAACTGCACCACACAAGTGTAGGTTCCACTGTCTGAAACTTTCAGATCTTTAATGTGCAGAGACCAGCCCTGAAATTTTCAACAAGCAAAACATTCAATTTCATGAGATACTTTGCTAGATCTACATATTTTAATTGATTTTTTTATGCTTAATATGCAGAAAAAAAACTGTAAAAGTTAAGCTTAATTCTGGAATAATGAAATAACTCATTTACAGTGAATACAAAAAACCTTATTATATTCTGGCTATAGGCTAAGATTGATGGTTAATTCAACAGGTGTACTTACAATTTTCTTAAGTCTGTTATCTTTATCCACTGGCTTTCCATTCTTTAGCCACTTTAGAGTTATCTTGCTCTCGTATAAATACCACCTTTCAAAGTTGTCAGGCTGGACACCACAATAAAACTCTGTTTCTGAATGAGGTGTTCTCTTTTTGACAGTAACCGGCATGTTCTTTGAGGACCACTCAAGTTTAAATGGTTGTTCTGGAGCAAAATTAAAAAAAAAAAACAGGTTTACTTAACTGCTTTTACCAGACATTAAGAATTATTTATGATTGTTACATCTAATGCACTCCTGGCCTCAATTTTATCATTTTTGGCACATTTGTAACTGACTTGGAGCAAAACGTGGTTACAGGATGAGCAGGAAGTATTTTTAAAGATTTAATTACTATTACAATTGTCATTGTAACCAATGAGATGTTGTCATGGGACGGAGTGGTCTAGCGGTAGAGAGCTGGAGTGCTACCCCGTAAGTCTCGAGTTCGAATCCAGGTTCAAGTCAGTAGACCGTCCCTGAGTCCACCCAACTCTGATGGGTACCTAACTCATGTTAGGGAGAGTAAAAGCAGCTGGGCATAGTGCTGACCATACTATCTCTTCATTTGCTGAGGTCACAGAAACAAGTGAACTCTACCTCACTTGCCCCATAGACCATCAGGTTTGAAAGGGAAACTTACTTACTTTTACAATTGTCATTATAAAATGTCTAAAAAAGGGGAACTGTAGTTCTTCTATGGGTTAACTTTTAGACAATGTATATGCAGCCTAAATGATACCTCAGAACACACAAATAGACTAAAAATATTCAACATAATTCAAATAATTAGATTTTAAGTGTTTTATATTTCATTTAAATCAAACTGGAATTTGGAATGCATTTTGTATCAAGATAGAATGCTTTTTTGGAGGGAATAAAAAGTTTTTAAAAAAATCAACCAAAAAAAACCACTACCATTGTTAAAATGCCAGTAGCCTACTTTGTAAAGGATGGTGGGAAAAAACCAAGTAGGCCAGGTATCTTTTTGTCCCACGGTGATACACTTGGCCAGGATGAAAAGAAACTATGTGACCTGGGGTCATTATAACAATGCCAGGGAGTAATGATGACAATGGTAAACGGTAGGGCAGGGAGTTTTCTGCTCCTGCTTTACGCGGGCTATTGTGGAGCTTGACCACATTCAAACTCTGTTCAGAACCGTATTCTGAAGGAAGAATTTCCATTGTTGATACCAGAGGGGGAAAAAAACTAAAGATTTTGAACATTAAATTTATAAGATTAGGCTATAGAAAATAATGCGCGTAGCTAAATTTAAATATTGTAAATGATAATTTCAGAACATCAAGAATTCTAAATATATTTTTTAAATCATGGTTTATTGGTTAGTCGGCAAGACTTGATTTTAATCGATAGCTGTGTGGGTGTAAAAAAAAAACCACCTAGTAATCGTATTGAGTGGGTAGCGCGAATAAAAAGAAACAACTACCCAACGTGTTAACAGTAGGTTTACCACCAGATATCCTTTTCTTTAAAAAAAAAAAAAGGAATAATACAATTTTAAAACTGTTTCTTAATAAAACCTTTTTGGTATGAGTGTCCCGAAATGGAAGTGGTAAATATATCTAATTGTGTAGCTTTTAAAATCAACAGACAAAAATATTAGCCCCCTCCCCTCCCAAGCCCACGGATATAACTAGTTGCACGCCAATCAAACGAAAGTATGTTCGGATATTTTCAAAGGCTGTTTTGTAAAGTCAACTTTATTTTTGGCATCCCGTTTAAATAGAGGGCATTTCTATCAGGCCGTGTAAAGCCGGGCAGTGCTAGAACGCCGTGTAGAGCTATGATACCAGCATCAATCAGTGGGGGAAGTGTGTCCCACGCCTCTTTGGTTGACAGCCGCGGTTGTAGAAAAGATCCATTCACGAACGTTAGGTCATAAAGATTATAGCACGTTCTGAATACTCCGCTTGTAGGCCCTATAACTCTTTTGTGTGCTATTTTTGTATATTAAAGCCGATATCACGGGGTAGGACTATTATTTTTTAAACAAAAACGAAGAACACATATAGTATGCCCTAATGGTTCTTTTGGCCACATTGAGGCATTAGAAATTGGTTGTTTTTTTGTTTTTTGTTTTTTTTTTTTGTTTTTTTTTTTTGTGTAAAACAAAAAGTATTTGAAATATTGGTCCCAAACCTTAGGAAAAGTTATCAAATTAAATATCTTGTAAAAAAATGAATTTTGTGTGACTATTAAGGAAATTTACTGATACATGGAAGATAAACTTAATATAGCGTTAGACCTACTAAATCTACATACACAAGCGAAGTAGTAACGTTTAGTCATAACACAAACGTAAATCAGACTGAAATAATCTTTCGAAAAAATATATAGATTCTATATGAGGAAAACGCATACACTTTTTTTCTCGAAAGAACTTTAGTACATTCTTTTTTTAAGAAATATATTTTATTGATAAATATGCGGCACCGTAACCCACTTCGCGACAAAGCGATCTGAACACGTTTTCTTGCGTTAAGTATTCAAGCTAAAGAAAACACCGGATGTTGATTGAAAAAAAAAATCCACGTCTAGGCCTACACCTAACACGATCTCAAAGCCCCTAGTGATCGGGTAACGCAACCATAAAAAAGGTCAAAGGAAAAAATAGCCGAACGGTTCTCGCATTGTTACACGCATCCCCCCCCCCCCGTCCCAGCGTCGATCAGAATGCAATTAATCAAATTAATATGTTGAATAAAAAGTTTAACAGAAAAGATAATAGATTTAAATTATTTTAAGAGTAGGTTGTGGTTCCCTTTCTTATGTTTGGTGAAATATAATTCGAAGCAAATTTTCTGTGCACGTTGAATAGCATGTGTTTCTTTCATACATCTCTGGGGGGGGGGGGGGGTCCGTCTGGACTCCGTCCCCTTCCCCAAACACGTCTACTGCTCCACATACACACCGCGCGCCCCTTCCCCCCCCCCCCCCCCCCCCCAACGAAATATATTTTTTTTATAGTAAATATAAAATTTTACCCGTGCCCGCTCCTCCCAAAGATAAAAAAGTCTGAAAGAAACACTGTTGATAGCAATGTTGGATACACGTTTTGGTATCATGTTAAATGCATGCCCAAAGATCAATGTTGGATACAAGTCTAAATACAAATGTTGGATGCACGTCCAAATATCAATGTTGGATGCATGTCCAAATATCAACGTTGGATGCATGTCCAAATATCAACGTTGGATGCATGTCCAAATATCAAGTTGAATGCTCGTCCAAATATCAACGTTGGATGCATGTCCAAATATCAACGTTAGATGCATGTCCAAATATCAACGTTAGATGCATGTCCAAATATCAACGTTAGATGCATGTCCAAATATCAACGTTAGATGCATGTCCAAATATCAACGTTGGATGCATGTCCATTTATCAACGTTGGATGCATGTCCAAATATCAACGTTGGATGTCTAAACGTCTAATTTGTGCGTGTGTGTCTTTGAACTAAGACCACTGCTTGGAAAACCCCATCGAATGTCAAAAACACGTCACATTGGTTTAGTGTCTGCACGGCAAAGACTGGTACATTTTACACGGGGAAATACACTTTTTACACACAAATTACAATAATAGCATCTTACTGAACGATCCGCCTACAACAGCTACCGAACAAGATCGTATACTATATCTACTATTCACAATCCTCACCACTCTTTATACACAACAGTTAGTAACTACAAGTACAATACATACAACAAGCCACCACCTTTCTTGAAACAACTCACGATTGACTTTCCACAGTACTCACCTTTGACTGAAGTCTGCTGGTTTATTTGGGCAGCGCAGACGCAACACGTGAGGAGGACCAGCACTGACACTGTCACAACCGGACACAACGACCTCAATGGTTTCATGGTTGGCTGAAAACCTGGAAAATAAACAAAAACTTTATTTACAAAACCAACGAATCAGCGCAATGGAAGTAAAACGTGGAAGCCCTTGATCACATTTAGTAGAGACGTTGACATATCTGCTATATATAACAATGAATGCAAGTGTGTACCTCGTTAATATGCATGTGATTTTTCTCGCCCCTGTGAATATGCAAATGAATGTTACGGTTAGCTGAACATCGCTCACTTAATTGCGTCTGATCAACGGACGCGCTGGTCACGTGGGATAACCTAAGCTACTTATGTTTAGGGTCAACTCGTATAGTTCTGTTAAGGGAAACGCTCCGTTATAAACCGCATAAATCAAGCGACTAGTCTACGTACGACAACCAAGACAGTTGGCAATGTTGATATCTAAGTTAGAGCAGCATGTTGATTATCAAATTTCAGGTGTTTTTTTTTTTAATTTATAAAAATATGGGAAGTGCGTTTGCTAACTTGCAATACACGATTGACTTACAGTGTGCATAACTAACGTAGGGCCTTAAATATAGGCCTTTAATTATAAAACCAATTTGAGAAATGATATAGTAGATTTTAAAAAATCCTCACTGGCCACTGGATAGGTAAAAATAAAAAATAAAGTATCGTTTCAGAACAGACGGCTCAAGAGGCAGTAGAGCTAACCTGTTTTTCTGACCTCGGCACATAAAAGGATAGAGTATAATCTTCACTGTGCTCTGTGGCAGAACCCTTATAGAACACCAGTTATGGATTCGGAAAATAAATAAGAGACAGCCACGAAACCTAGATATACATGCTGTTTTATTATCTATTTCAAATTGTTCTTTTAAAAAAAAAAAAGATCAATTTGAAATATTTCTTCCCGAACACTAAAATTTGTAATAGAAAAAAAAACACATACTGACCATTACTTTTAAATCCCTACAGGACCTAGTGTTAGCAACACACAACCGGGCAACATCCTACCTCGATAGCTGCGCGGGGGTCAAGGGTACTGGACGGTCCGGTTAGCGGCCCATTCTTGTATTGTGGCTGACCCTATCCAGTTACAGTCGTGCACCACACCAGAGCTAGCACTAGGCGACAGGTATTTTTTTTTAACAAGGTGATGTGCGAGGCTGCTACTGGTAGCGGGGACACACACACACACACGTTTGAAGGTCACTGCTTCAGTGTACGGACATAGGGTCACTGCGCTAGTGGACACAGAGGGATAGGGCGTAGTTGACCCTGGGGGGATAGTACTGAGTTGACGGGGGGACAGTACTTGAGTGGCATCTAAAGATCAGTGCATTTCGGGCAGTGTTTTTCCAGACTTTTTCCTCCGGGCGGGGGGGGGGGGGGGGGGACGACGACACTATTAAAAGTATATATTTTCTATATAAATTCCATTTCGTTGGGGCGGAGGGGGGGGGGGGCGGTAGACTTTCTCCGGGGGGGGGGGGCGGTAGACTATCTCCGGGGGGGGGGGGGGGGCGGAGATGCCTGGGAGAAACTCTGATTTCGGGCGTCTTTGGGTCAGTCTACTAACACACATGCCTAATCATTGAGTTAGCGAACAGAAAATTTAAAAATAGAGCCTAACGCTAAAATTGGACACGCCCTATAATGGGCGCACGCACGAAAAAAGGGGAAATCAGCACGAACTCTTTATAGGTCTTGCGGTACAACATGTGGGAGGGTGAAAATTTTCCCAGACCCATTCTCCCTACTAGCTTCGCACCCCAACCCCTCTACCCCCCCCCCCCCTCACATGGCAAAGATAAACAAGAGAGCGTACAAAACAACTATGTTTTAAACACCACTACACTGATTGGTGCTTTTTTTTTTAAATACCCGGCTGATAACGGTTGTACACGTGTGATATAACGGTACATTTAAAAAAAAAAAAGGAACCAGTAGAATGTTCGAATAAGGCCATTTTAGCGTGCGTCTCCAAACCCCCCCCCCCTCCCCAATCCAACTGTGCACAAATATATGTATTCACCCAGATTTTTAACAACAAAAGAAAAGGGCGTATCAACATTGGTGAATATCTGCGTAGGTGAAAGCGCATAAATTACTCGTATCTAATGACAATCTGTGTATAGAATGTTGTAAGGGGGGGGGGGGAGAGAAATCGGTACGTTGTTAAAGTATGCGTACCTGATGACCACTGCCATATCGCTAACTCAACCAGAAGTAGGCTAACCCTATTCTAGTAATCGATAACAAATAAAATCACTTTAATGACAAGTTATGGGTGTTAATAATTTTATGACAATAGAAATTATTATGTTACAGGCCCTATATTATTTACTCGCTTTTGTCTTGGATGGAAATCCCTGTTTACAAGAAGGATTGTGTTTCTATAATAATCCTGTCTTGTAATAATATTATCTTTCCTTAATAGCCTTCAACCTTAATTTGGCTAATTAGGCCCCTTCTAATACAGCAGTCCTCGCTTTCCCTACCAATGTGCTTAAATCTAGACTAAACTTCTTTGGCCCACAGAAAATATGTCCAGATTTCAGATACCGAATACTGAATTGTTTGATTATTAGTTTTCTCACAAATGTCAAAATCCTTTCACCAGACCTTTTCTACAAAATACAGGAGTAAAACGTAAAGAAAGATTCGGGACATTTAAACTGGGTAGCAAAGCCTCACTAGACTCCGGAAGCGTTATTTTGTTTGGGGACGCGGTGTTCGGATTTAGAGCTTTATAAGATAACTGTGTCAAATATCCGGTGTCCCTTCGACACATTTCTGCAGATAAAAACCTAGGTTTATAGCAGCCGTCTTTTAATACTGCTGCCGGGAAGGCAACGCGTTAGGCCTTATGTTGCATGTATATGGCAATACTATTAAAAGCAGTCAGGCATGCATGAAAAGATATGTATAGAAGCCTAATATGCATGAGCCAAGCTTTATTTATAATTATTAATTACGTAAGAGTGGAAACTGGATAATTTATAACTGAAAAAAAAAACAACAACTGTAGGCCTGCTTCTTTATTTAACATGGCTGTATTGAAGTTAATCTGTAGTGCTTCTTTCAAGGATCACTCCAGGGAAGGGACATATAATACCTCAACCGGTGTTTCTCCACATCATACCCCCCCCAATGGAGGAAAATGTCTGAAAGAAACCCCGGTTATCTGTTGCAGATATCACTACGCTTTCAGACTATTTTATCTGGAGGTGGGGAGCACTTTAAAATGGGGTTGAGGGAGGGACAATATTTCCCTGTGCCCCCTCTCCCTCCCCCCCATCCAACAAAGAGATGGCCGTCTAACCCTGGTAGTATCCCTAATAACCATAACCTCCATCGACGACACACACACACACACGCACACAAATCGACACGATAAAGTGTGTGGCCCTGACAAAACAGCACACAAGTAAGAATATAGTGCGGCATCGTCAAACAACAGACGTAGTTATCCTGGCACCACCACGACAAGTTCTGGCACACCATGGCCAATGTGATGCTTGACTTGCCCCGGGGTACGTATGTATCACATCACTGCGACCCCAGGCTCGGTTCACACAGAACGGGACCGTTAGGCCTACGTGGACAAAAGACGAGAACCGGCACCTACAACTTGACTTCCCCCGTCCCATAACGGTGCTGCTTAAGTGATTGTAAACAACTCGTGCACCAGCTACTGAAATTTATCGCCAGCCCAACGTTTAAAATATATTAATCAGGGTTGCTTTCAGATATTTTTTTTCTCCGGGGTAGGGGGTACTTGGAACTTCCGGGGGATAGGCGTATTTAAATTAAAACTCTGAGAGGGGGAAAGGGGACCGGACACTGGTAAATTATAATTTGCTATATAAATTGTTTTTTTTTCCTGTTTTGTCCGGTGAGCCCCCCCCCCCCCCCCATTCGGAGATGCCTGAAAGAAACTCTGGAAATAATTATGACTGGGTAACAAGGAATGGATGTGTCCACTTTCACCCGATAAAGATCCTCGATGTGGTTGTGTGATAAGTTGAGTGGGACTGCCATTTTTTATTTTCTTATCTCAGCACTGAGGGGTTTTTAGAAATGCCAAGATCCACTTGAAGCCTCGGCTTATTTTTTAACACAGAAAAAAAAATTACGTCAAGCTGGGGTCAGTGTTTCTTCCAGACTTTTTTCTCCGGGGGGGCACTTGAAATCTTCGGGGGGGCGGTAAACTTTCTTCGGGGGGGCGGACACTGTTAAAAGTATATATTTTCTATATAAATTATATAAATTTCATTTCGTTCGGGGGGGCGGTAAAAAATTTTCGGGGGGGCTTCGCCCCCCCGAAGAGATGCCTGGAAGAAACTCTGGCTGGGGTCCACGTTTCTTTATTCTAATACAATTAGCGTCTTTAGGGAATTTCACATAAGGGTAGGGTACGGTCAGAACAACGCAATGCTTTATTTTTCATCGCCTAAGGAAGCATAATGTCACGTACACACCAGGGCGCGGGGGTATGTGGGGGGGGGGGGGGGTGCGAAAAAGAAGTCCACATGTTTTACGCATTGCCGCGGCGATATTCGAACTCCAAGCCATCTAGTTTGCTATCATATCGATCACTTAATCAAATCTTTTAATTCGCACTAATTTTCGGGACAGTTTTATACGCGAGACGTTTAAAAAAAATTAATGTTGTCATCAGTGGCGTAGCCAGGATCGTCTCATGGGGGGGGTTCAAATTTTTTCCAGCATTTTATATATATATATATATATATATATATATATATATATATATATATATATATATATATATATATATATATATATATATGTGTGTGTGTGTGTGTGTACATATGCATGTGTAAGTGCGTGCGTGTAAAGTATTGGTGGCTGGTGACAATAGAAACTCGTGGGTGCCACCGACTAACTTATCTTAGTATTAGCTATTGTTTTGTAACAAGTAACACATGTACACTATCGTAAAAAATTATAAAAATCAAATTTCCATCATTTTCAGCAGTTTTCTCCAACTAAAAATTTCCTTGTCGGCCGCAAAATATTATAGATTCTATTATGGGCGCTAATCTTAAACGATTTTCTTGAATTTGTTGACTTATGATACATTTAAGGAGATTTTAATAAGTTAATTTTTTTTTCTCCATCACCGATTTACGATTTTGGGAAAGTAAAATTGCTCTTTTATGATACTCACATTGCTGGTGCTCATTAAACTTGTCTGTTGCCTTTTTCCAGTTTGAAAATGAAATTTTTGATAGCTTATCCATAGGCTGACTACCTACACCACGATAATTCAAACTAATCAAAACACAATATTTGCAAAATGCGCCATCAAGTAATTTGGAATAAGTCAACCAGTTCCACCTAAGTAGCCACAAATATTGAAACTTTAAATTTCTTTGTCCGCTTGCTGGAAATTTTAAAAGTTCATCAGGACGCCAGATGTTTTCTAATAAATACAACCGTGTATCGTCTGTTATAACTCCTTTGATAAAATTGCCGATATCATTTGCGTAAGAAACAGTCGAAGGTGCTGAATTTATGGACATTTCTTGATGTAATGTACTTTGAAAAGCAATAGTACCATCTTCATTTTTATCATTTTCAGTTTTACTTTTCTTTGTAAAGAAATCAGTTAATAAAGTAGTTTTTAATTTCCTTTTTCCTTCCGCCATCATTAAAATGAATTTAAATTGCTTGAAGTAGTTAAAAGATACACATTAAAACACGACTATACGAAGAAGAAAGCAAATTATTATTGGTCTTCTATTCTGTCTAAATTGACTACTGTAGGTTCCTGGCTTTACATCTATATTTAACCAAATACGCAGTTTTTTTATATAGCCTACCAACACAAAGTTTTGTGTCAACAATTGTGGGTCAAGCCCACGCCTTCCTGCCAGATGTGCATCAGGTAGTATTTTATAATTGATACGTACCAATATTCATCCCACCCTCACCCCCTTTTACACCCCTTAACTGATAACCTTGTTCAGCTTTCCCTTCGCCTATTGCGACCCTGAGTGTTTGTTGTTTAAGCACTGAATGATAGCGACACAAGTCCATCGTCGTCAATAGCTGTAACTTAACGTAAAGGATTGTCATTTTGAAGGTTCTAACCCCCCCCTCCCCTCCCCTCACCCCTGCCTACTCCTCCCTCTGCCATCTTTATCATTTTCAGTTTACTTATCTTTTTAAAAATTAAGTGAAATGAATTTCAAATGGTTTGAAGTAGTAAAAACATACACATTATAGAACCTCAATGCGAATAATAATCAATTCCTTTGTTTGTTTTTCATTTCTAGACGCTTTCCGATTGCACTACAATCATATTAGACAACAAAGGCCTACCCACGTAGCCCACCCCTCCCTTTCGACACTCCTTAACTGATCTAACCTTGGCCAACTTTCCCTTGGCCTACTGCGTTCCAGATTATTATACTTTACTTTAGCGCGATAATAAAATTCATAACTAAATTCTACAGGCAATTCTCATCACAATGATATACATTGTTGTTCTAGAGGCTGCCAGGCTTAAGTGTTTAGTGTTTAAGCCCTAAATAATATTGACACAAGTCAATAGCTATAGCTTAACGTAAAAAAGTAGTCATTTTGGGGGTCCATGGGGGGGGGGGGGTTATAACCCCCCCTAACCCCCCCCTGCCTACGCCACTGGTTGTCATTAAGCATACATTAGTGTCTTGTATTGAAGTTCAGGGAAGCAGAGAGAGATGAGGGGGGGTGGTTATAGGGCAGGGTTGAAAGAGGTGGAACTTTAAAAAAATGTAATTGTATTTCCCCTTAATAATCTCGACACCACAATGTGTTTTTAAAAAAAAACTTGGCCCCACTTTAGCTTTGACTATGTAATATTTATTTCTTCTGTGTTCTACACAGGTCTGACTGGTGCTGGTCGATTAGCCAGTCGCACATTCAGCGATGATTGGCCTACTTCAACCACAAACCTAACCCTAGCCCTAAACCTAACCCTAGCCCTAAACCTAACCCTACATACAGTTCCAAACATAGGCTCACATAGTGAGTTAAGCTCCAAAAGTCTGACCCTCATTTTATCAAAAGCTCGCGTAAGTCAAATTGACTGAGGCATTCTAAATAAATGTTCTTACTTTTAAATGTACTACTGGTTCTAGAGACTAATAATTATTTCAACAACAAAAATTTCTTTATGTGACCCTAGCACTGTTCCAGCCACAATTGGATCGCATATAAATTAGTCACAGACACAAACACTGTTTACATGTTAAGCGCTATGATTATCCTTTATTTCTATGTATTCAGATCTACTGTAGGTGTCATAATTTATTTTTTGTAATTTTTTTAAAAAGACGCATTTTCGACAGATTGTGAAACCTGCACTCTTCTGAACAAACGTGTGTTTCAAACGTACTTGTTCTAGTCATACATGTAACATTTTTTTTGTGATGTTTTAAAAATGTACAAACTGTGTTTTTTACTTCCCTTTTCAATTTTTTCAAAAAGTGAGAAAAGCCGATTTAAAAGCAATAAATTTAATTGATGTACTTATTTTTGAGGTTTGAAAAAAATTGAGTCTGTTCTCTATGTATGTGTGTTTGTGTTGAGTTCAAAAGATTGTGTTTGTGACATATACTTTTACAGATATAACCTCTCAAACATGGCACTTTTTAGGGTGTTGAAAAAAAAGTTAAAAACTAATTTTTTTAAAACGTCATAACTTTTTTACTACTTGAGATTTATGAACAAATTTAGTGTACACTATCTTAGAATCATGAGTTCTTGACATAGCAACTTTCAAAAAAGCTCTGGGACCGCTTTAAAAAATCAGTTTGACACCCCTAATAAACTCATCAGTGGCGTAGCCAGGATCGTCTCGAGTGGGGGGGGGGGGGGTGTCCAATTTTTACCCGGGGACAAGCTTTCGATTTGCACCCCTCCCCCCTCAGACTTTTGATTTGCCCCCTCCCCCCTCAAACTTTCGATTTGCACACACCCCCTCAAGCTTTCGATTTGCAACCCCCCCCCTCAAACTTTCGATTTGCACCCCCCTCATACTTTATATATAAACCGAGGGGTCTATGGGGGGGGGGTTATGACCCCCCTAACCACCCTCCTGCCTACGCCACTGAAACTCGTTCATTGAAATCAGTGCCTTTCATTTCGTCACAGCGAAGGCCTAGCCTGCGATGACCCTAGCCTGCGATTACCCTAGCCTGCGATGACCCTATCACTTCGTTCAGCCCCGGGCTACAGAAGAGGCGGGTTTTTTTTTCACAATAAATGCACATGGCCCAAGACCACACCCAAGTATGTACCCTTCCTTCCCCACCCACCCTACTAAATATTTTACACACATTTCAGCACGACTGGGGGGGGGGGGGGGGTAGTGTGCGAATTAAGGTCAGCGTGCGGACATAGCCTTTAAAAAAATTAATATAACAGGGGGATTAATATTATATTAACAGCACTACTATTATTGTAGATCTAAGATAGTAATATTAATTTTATTAATGACATGGTCTCTACTTATAAACTAATATAAACATTAAACACTATAATATACAATATTATATAATCAAAAGTGATTAAAAAGTAAAAAGTAATCAATTCGCAGTAAAAGTAAAGTAGAATCTAGATCTAGTAAGTAAGCTAATAAAAATCGTCCAAAAGATACCGAACAATGGACACGGGTAACTGTTAGATAAACAAGTGTATTAACTTATTAACTTATTAAATAATACAGTAATTTAGTTTGATTTAGTTAGGCACCACATTTACAACAGATTCAAATACGCATGCTTCATTTCGGGCAAGATCTTTTTCTCGAGTATTTTATACCTACTTTATGTAATTCTAAAAGAATTCTAAAACCAAATGGTGGGACTTCAATTTAATTAAAAATTTCATAGAAAGGTAGTTAGCAAAGAGCGGTCTTACCTTTGTATCACCTGGGCAATTTACACTGTCATCGAGTTCTTCAAAATTTGAATAATACAACACAGAATAAACAATATCCCTGTGTTGAGCGTTGTCGCGTGTTCAGTTTATTATTTTATTGCCTGGATGGTTTACAAAATAGATTCAAGATATGAAATTAATCCATACTGTTTTACTATAACTTGTTGTATTGGAAGCAACAAGCACAGTGGCTCAAGGTGTTTTAATTCATTGATCACTGACGAATGTGTCCATCGCACCTTTTGCTAGTAGCTCGTTTCCTTTACTTCCGCGCTGTATTTGCTCACCTTTTTCGGCGTGATGGAAACCCCAAACACAACAAGGCTCGCTTGTTTACCGTCTTTCCCCCCACGACACAAGAGGTCCTCTGTCAACCGGACTGTGCGCCTCAACAAGTTTGTTTTCTGCTCAGGTCTCGCTTGCCCGCGATTGGATGCGTCACCCTCGTCCAGTCCCTGTCGTCTGCTGTGGTGGGAGTAAGGAGATCTAAATACCAGTCAACAACCTTCAGTGTAAACAGACGAGTTGAACTTGCAAGTCCTGGAAATCTTTTTTTCCGCCCTAACTTGTGGATTTATTTAAGACTTTAAATAATTTTCGTCCACTTTAGCACAATAAAAATCCGGACCTAACAGCTCTGCATCGGAATTTGTTAACCGGGCTATACTTCCTGTAGCATAACTCAAAGAATTTCGAATGTCAAATTCAAAGTTAACACCACATACCAATATTTAAAGCACTACGCCTGGTGTCTGGTTTAATCTATAATTATACACCGAAATAAACACCAGGGAACTCTACCCAGATTTAAACCCCTCGGCGTGGCTTCGGGTTTTAAAACTGCGTGTGTGGAAGTGTCGAGGAAACCCCTAACAAAGTACGGATTCTCGCCGCGATGAAGAAAGCCTGCGAGGAAATTCGCCCAGAGAAATCATGCGACGTCTTTGCAAGTGTGCACGCTGGCTGTCCAAGCGAATATCACGTCCCCACCCCATTCGGGCTTTACGTTCTAGGTTGGAATTATGTAACGATTTTTACTTAAATCGCTGCTTTTTTTTTAGACCAAGAAAGCTAGATCTAGAGAATTAAAAACAAATTATAATAGGGTCTACAATAAATATAGGCTACTATTATATGTAACAATATTTCTCCAAATAAATAAATAAACTGCTTATAATTTCGATTTTGTCTTTCTACTTCTACTCAAAAAAACATACTCAACCAAGCATATTTTCCCGTGCCTTACACCCCTCGTAATATGCCTCATACTAATTATAAGCTTTAGTAATTAACTTTTTAAAAAAATAAGAAAATATGCAAATAACCAAAGGTCCTGTTTTATTTATTATACAAATTATAATATCTGAATGAATGATAATTTATAGCAGCTGTACCTTAAATAATGTTTATATGAGATTTTCAAAGATATGGCTGCACTTTGTTAACAGTAATTGTTTTTCATTGTGGCCTAGCCTTAGATACTGTGGAAATATTGTTGTCCTGGGGGACGGGTGAAATATCTGGCCAGTCGCCGAGTGGCGCGAGGGGGACATGTGTGGACAGTCTGAGCGGCGCGTCCGATGCAAACTACACGTCTGCCTCCTGTTGACACTGAGCCTTCCCACAATTCTTCAAATCAGACTTGGCGTTGGTTTCTGTGGTAAACAGAACTCTCGTTTCATCACGGCCTTAAATAGACAAGGTCGCAAATGAGCCAAAACGGAAAAACGTTGATATCTGGCTCCAGTTTGTAACTTTATATTAGTTGCATTCATTGCTGACTGATAAACGTATCTGTTTTAATTTTAACCACTTTAGTTTGGGGGTCGTCCATAAATAACGTCACACTCGTAGGGGGGAGGAGTTGTCCGTAATTTTGTGACGGTGTGTGAAGAAGGCTGAGGTGTGACGTCATTTTAGGGGGGTGTCTGGCTTTTTGTGACGGAGGGGAGGGGGAGGTAAAACTCGTAAAGAAAAAGCATGACGTCATTTACGGATGACCCCTTTTTAGATAACTAATTCAGTATGTGGCACTATGCCACACACACACACACATATATATATATATATATATATATATATATATATATATATATATATATATATATATATATATAATATCCCATTTCAAATCGTACGGTACGTGGGGCAGGCGAAGTAGAGTTCACCAGTTTGAGTGACCTTGATATATATAAGGATAGTGTTGTCAGACCTTGCCCAGTCGCCTTTACCTTCCTTGAAGTGAGCTGGGTAGACTTAGGGACTTCCTACCCTGAATTAGAACTCGAGACTTTCGGGGTAGTAGTTTAGCGCTCAGCCGCGCGGCCACACCGTCATTTGCATTAATTACGAGTTATTGAAAACCAACTATGCCTACAGTAGTTTTTCTTTAAAACATTTTTTTTTCTGAAAAGGGGGTGGGGGTCACTTTAAACACTGATTAAAGTATATATTATTCCATTATATTATTTTTCATTCGGGGGGGGGGGGGGGTGGAACAGCCGTATCCTTTTTACAGTGACCGCCACCCCCCTACTTCGTAGAACAAAATCTGGAAAAAAACACTGTCGACGACGCTTGTTTACAACACCCACTATTTTCTATTATAATAATCTATTACACGTGTAACACAGGGTAGTAGCACACTAGTAAAAGTGAATGTTTACTATATAAATTCCTTCTCGTTCGGGGGGGCGGGGCGGTAGACTTTCTTTGGGGGGGGGGGGGGCGCATAGCCCCCCCCCCCCCCCCCCCCCCGAAGAGATGCCTGGAAGAAACTCTGCTGCCCCCAACAATGCTGTTTTAGTTGGATTTTATAGCACTGCAATCCTCAATTCCGGGGAAATAAGTCGTGAAAAAGTCGGTAGTTATATATTTATTATTTCCCTTTAATTTTCTTATTTTAAAAAAAATTATTTTAGTGAAGCTTTTAAACTAAACAAAAATAATTTTTATATCGCTCCAGATGATGTAAGCTGTAAGAGATCTTCATTTGCAGAATAATCTTATGCGTAAAATGTTTCATTTTGTTTATTGAAATTGAAAGAGGTTTTCGTTTAGATCTATTCTGTAAACAATTGATAAAATACACATTTTAAAAATTTATTACGCCAATTACCATTCCATTCGTGTATTTGACTTATACTAATTCACCAGTTTGACATCATTGCAACTAGATGCCGTTGGTTCACAACGTTGTGGCATCGATACCCAAAGCACACTCACACAGTGGTGTCGTCTAGACCTAACTGATGGGTTATTCCAACAAGGAAGGGGCGACGATAGTGTACAAAGATCAGTCGCCCTAGCTTTAACTAGCCAAAATTATTAGCGAATTTCAGTATGGCTGCATTCTACGACACATCAAGTGGCCGGCCCCCATAAACCACGTGGCAATCTCGTGGTAATGTATTGAGATGAAACGCTACTTGAAATATTGTTTATGGGTGCAGTAAAAAAAAAAACGTAACGGGAAGTTTCTACTCTGTTGACGCTTTTGTGTGTGCAACAGCGTGTGTGTGTGGCGGGGATTATGCCGGCGTGAGTGTGTACGTGTGCTTTTGTCCTCTGTGTGTGTGTGTGTGTGTGTTTGTGTTCTCGCTTTAATTTTTTTTTTTAAACTGAAGCAACTGTTTACCGAACAACCAATAGAAATAAAGATGTTAAAAATAAACAGCCAATGGAAGAATGGCTACAACCTGTTGATCACCTGGGTAGTAGTGTCGTCCCCCCCCCCACCCCACCTCCGTTATCTCGAGTTAACGGTACTTGTGACAAGCATGACGCTGTCGCGACGACGCAGATGACCTTGCACGGTCGAGTAAATCAGAAAATTAAAACACTACGTGGGGAATATTCAAATTTTAGAAAAGAAAAAAAAAACGTTTCAAAAGCGACCAGTCGGATGGGGGATAATCTGGGGGGGGGGGGGGGGGTGCCTTACACACGCTAACATCGTGTAATGAAAAGGTTAGGGTGGATGGGTGTTTGATACAGAGGTAGGGTGGTTGCTGTCTGATAACCTATTTATACGGCAATCTAAAAAACATAACGGTTTCTTTTGTTAGTTTTTTTTTGTTTTGTTGTGACTGGGGGCTGAGCACGATTTTATCTTGCAAAGGATACGATTGGAGATTTGGAGCACGTGATCAAGTTCATCCAAGGGTGTACCTCTCGTCGAGAGAGCTCCACCGTTTACCCAGCGAGATCTATTTGAATTTAAATAACGTAAGCTTTATAAGAGGGGTATATTGTTTCGTATAAACGCATTTTGAGTTAACTGAAATTCTGCATTGGAGTATCGTTTAGTGCAGACTTGGTCTATGAAAGCTGATGTATTGAACGGGTATATTTTACAGATTATAAAACCTTGGGGATTTCCAACATTCTTGAAGCGTGGTTGGGGGGGGGGCTTTTGGGGTAACGGAGAACATTTTTGGCGTCTATACACATACTAGGCATACTGCCTAGCTTCGCTTAGATTTTTAAAAAGCATTTGAGAATTTCAACACTTAATTATTTAGCGATGGATGAGGTGTGGAGTGCTTAAATTTAAACAGTAATGCTAACTTTAGGGAAAATGTTGTTTGTTGTTTAAATTCCGTTCTCAGAGAAAATATTGGAAAGTACGAATGTATAACTAAAATGGAATTAGAACTACACTGGTTCCATGAACAGTATATCTCATAATTTATATTACATTGCCTTTTAAAATTAATTTATTTAATGAGGATACGTAACTGAATTATTTACGGTCACCGACAGGTTTGCCCTACGGCATAGCCATTTACCTATATGCATAAAGAGGGTAAGTGCACTAAAATTCGTTTTGAAATAACCCTCTGTTTTTCCCATAAAATACAAAGATTATATAGGGAAATACGACTGGTCAGTTTTTACCCATTAACCGATTTTTCCCACACATGGCGAGTTTTTTGTGACACCCCAAGGGGTTCTCTTACCACCTCACAAAATATCAAGGGGGGTCGTCGGAGGAAAAAAGTTCGTAATAAAGCTCATATAAAGAGAATTTCACTCACGGTCTCTTTTTAGCCCTCGTCGAGGGCTTTGAGTGAAACCGACAGGTTTGCCCTACGGCCAAGCTATTTACCTATAAGCATGTAAAAAATTAGCCAGATGTAAAGAGGGCAAGTGCCCTAAAATCCGTTTTGAAATTACCCTCTGTTTTTCCCATAAAAAAGATTATATAGGGAAATACGACTGGTCAGTTTTGACCCATTTCCCAATTTTTCCCGGACATGGCGAGTTTTTGTGACACCCCAAGGCGTTCTCCTACCACCCCACAAAATATCAAAGGTCGTCGGAGGAAAGTTTTTTTTCGTAATATAGCCCATATAAGGCGCCGGTCAGTCGAGGTCAGTTTTGACCCCCTCTCCTTAGACTTTTCGGCGAACCGTCACCGGCCCTCGTGTTCTATAGCTCCCAGGCACCATCGTGCCAATTTTGACGCGCCTGCGGCGCCGGGAAGTGCCCTTTCGGGCACTTGACCACTTTGCTTTATATATATATAGATGTGTGGTATACACTCTATAACCAAATGTGTAATGTACACTCTATAAACATATGTATTATATACACTGTATAAACTTATGTGTAATGTACACTCTTTAAACTTCCGTTTAATGTAAACTCTATTACAATGTGTGTGATGTACACTGTATAACCATGTGTGATGTACACTCTATAACCATATGTGTAATATACACTATATAACCATGTTTGATGTACACTCTATAACCATATGTGTAATGTACAATGTATAACCATGTTTGATGTACACTCTATAAATATGTGTGTTATGTACACTCTATAAAC